TTTCCTACAATCCACTGCCGTAATAATCCAAACTTCCATTTACCCAATAGCAGTAGTCGCAGCATACTCCCCGCCTAAAATACCTATCTCCGAATCCCAATTAAATTCTTTCCTTACCTTCTTAGGACACCACTTCCTTTTAGGAGCAGACTTAAATGCTAAACACCAGCAATGGGGAGCCAGAACCACAAATTCCCGAGGACAAACATTGTTGTCTGCACGTAATTCCCATCACAGCAACATTCTCTCACATACTGGCCAACAATTTCTAACTGCAATCCCGATCTCCTAGATTTTTTCATCCACAAAGGTCTAGGGTCCCTTAATTATAGCATTTCAAGACTAGATGATCTTTCCTCAGACCATAGTCCTCTAATCCTAACGGTCTCCACATCACCACCACCTATATTTATCAGGGGTCCAGTTAATTGGAACCTCTTCCATCAAATACAGGATGATAATATTGACCTCAGAATTTCCTTAAAAACACTGCAGACCTAGATGAAGCAGTATATTCTATGACTACCTTGATCCAGCAAGCAGTTTGGATCTGCATTTTCACCTGATCCTTCTAAAAAATACCACAAAATAAATCATCTACCCCAAGACCTAAGGAACCTTATTAATAGAAAACGATGCTCTAGGACCATCTGGCAAAGAACCAGACATCGGAAATCATATAACTATTATTCCAAGCAGGTAAAACAAAAACTGGTTACGTTCAGATCCCAATCCTATAATTCCTATCTTTCCTCACTATCTGCAAGTGATAACTTCCTCTGGAATGTAACTAAAAAAATCCTTAAATTCCAATCCATTTCCCACTCCTTCCACTGTGATGATGGTTCCCGGGCTTCATCGATAGAGCAGAAGAGTTTGCTAAACATCTATCATACACATTCACTCCTCATCCTGAACTCCATCCCACCCATACTGCTGAAGTTAAAGAATTCCTCTCTCCTAACCTCCTACAGCCGTCAACCCTTCTGAGGTCAAATTCCTTTTAAAGAACCTAAAGCCTAACAAATCTCCTGGACATGATCTCCTTACTTCCCAGATACTCAGACAACTTCCCAAAAAAGCAATTATATTCCTTACATACCTATTGAACTGTATCCTCCGCACAACCCACTTTCCTCTAGTGTGGAAACACTCCATAATTATCCTCTTTCCTAAACCAGGTAAAACTGTTAATTATACATCATCCTATAGACCGATAAGCTTACTCCCGATCCTTTCAAAATCTTTGGGAAAATCCTTCTTAAACGTATACTACCCATACTCGAATCCCACAATATCCCTTCCCATCAGTTTGGATTCTGCTCAAGACATTCCACTGTCCAACAAGGCCTTGGCGTATCCTCTGCACTTAAAACAAGCAATACTGCACTGATGCCTTTTTGGACGTAGCTCAAGCTTTCGATCGGGTATGGTACGATGACTTGCTTTTCAAACTCAAAACCCATTTACCCCAACCCTTGTATCTAGTCATCCAATCCTACCTTTCAAGTCCACTGCAGCACTGAACTCTCCAAACATTATTCAATTGAGGCTGGTGTTCCACAAGGCAGTGTCTTGGGCCCAGTTCTCTACATCATCTTCACCACCGACATCCCTACAAGTCCTGAAACCTTCCTAGCAACATTTGCTGATGACACTGCCATCCTACCCTCCCACTCAGATCTTCTAATAGCATTCCGAAACCTGCAAAGACACCTCTCCTTCATTGAGCAGTGGTGCAACAACTGGCACATTTGGCAACTTTCGAACAATAGTCAATGCTCCATATTATGTCACGAACAAGAGCCTACACCATGACCTTAACATCCCATATCTCCATGACATCATCCCATATAGATTCTCTAACTTTCACCAGAACCTTATTCATTATCCCTATCCAGCTCTGAGCATCCGTACCTTCCTCCTCGAAGGTTGAAATGGCAGTGTCCTCGAGATCTTTTGTAAATTTGCCTTTGGAGTCATGGTAATGGCCAGCTCCTCCACTCATGTTCTGAGCATCTGTGGCTCTAGTGTCCTCTTTCAGTCTCCACTTGCTCCACTATAGTGATGAGGCCTGGAAAAGTGGCACTGGAATCTCCTGGAGTCTTGCTTTGCCATCCACAGCCTGGCTCGGAGATTCCTTGGCGAATGTGTACATTGTATATAGGTATGATTGTGTTTAGAAGTTTTTATTTTATTTTTATTTACTTTCTTCATCAGTATTATTTATTTACTTTTTATATTTATTTCTCTATTATTTGTATATATTGTATGAATGAGAACTTATACTTATAGCTCTCCAGCAATAGCTAATTGTATTATGATTCAATAAATAGATTAAAAAAAAAATTTATTAAAGAGTACATTTTTCGCTTTGATACATCGTGTAGGTAATATATACTATATAATATATTTCTCAACTCAAATAAATTATCAAAAGTCACAACACATTAGATTTACTCTAAGACTAGAAACATGCCCTGCTGTATACTTAAACAACATACCGATTCCACAAACAGATAGAGTACAATACCTAGGCCTGACGTTTGACAGAAGAATGACATGAGGTCCACATGTGAAGAAAAAACGTGCATCATTAAATCACAGATTAAAACTATTGCATTCATTACTAAGACGACATTCTAAATTAAAAGCTAGACAGAAATTAAATATTTATACATACCTATTAAAACATCTCTGGACTTTTTTTTTTTTTGTTTTTTGTTCTTCCCTACCTCGCCTTTTAGGCTATACGGGATTTTCCCGGGCCGGGGAATTTAAAATCCCCTCCGGCACCGGGACGCGAACTCGTACTTTTTATATCATCTCAAATCTGTTATCCGGTTGCCAGGCAACTAGCGGTGCTGTTACACACGCTTTAGCCTATTCCGCCACCCCGCCCCCTATAAAACCTCTCTGGACTTATGGACTACAAATATATGGAATTGCAAAGCCAACACACATAAAACGACTTCAAACTTTTCAGTCTAAGATACTACGATTAATTACCCAAGCACCCTGGTACGTGAATAATAACACTTTACACACTGACTTACACATGCCAACGATCAATGAACACATAGGAACTTACTGCAAACGATTCCATAATAAATTACATAGACACTCCAACCAGCTAATTAAAGAAATGGCCACGACTACTATGCCAGAGAACTCCAGAAGACGACTGAAAGGGTCTGGATGAGGGATCTACTTATGTAATTGTATGTAAGTAAGTAAAAGCCATGGAAAGGATGCTGCTGGGTATTGCTTTTCCTCATGCCTATCAAGCCTTTTTATTTTATTTTTAATTTTTTTAAAATTTATTTTCTCATGACTGTGCCAGCACATATGCTGATTGTCAATAGTTATAATTGACAGGTGCGGATAAATATATGTAAGTGCAAAAAAAAAAAAAATTTAAATTCTAATTTAATAATGATAATTAATAAAATAATAATAAGCTATTTAAAGTTTTTATTAAATTCATAGTTTGATGACCTTATCAGGACGAATGAAAAATGCGAAATACAAAATCTCGCCTTGAACAAAACACATTTCTTGGGCATATTTTTAGTTAAAATAAGTCTCCTTGCAAAATCTAAATATTTTGAAGTTCAAGTCCTGGATATTTTTGCTAAAAAAGTAATTTGAATGCATTTTTAACAAAAGAGCTTTAGTAATGCATACAGGAAATCACCACGTAATATTCAAATGAGCTTTGAAGATATGTATTTAATATTGAAGATATAGATTGAAAAAATATAATAAAATGAGCAATTTTCGAAGCGTTAGTAATGAACTTACACATTAATATTAGTGTTCGTAATTGAGAAAGGATTGTTGTGGAAGAACAGTCATGGATATTTTTTTGTAATATAATTTTTATTACAGATACGATGTAACCTTTTAAAAATATAAATTATGGTATATCCCAAAAAATTATAGAAAATTCATGAGTAGAACAAAAGCAAATAGAATTATATTTTAATCTGGAGATAACTATTGAGGGAAAGGTCAATACTAAGAAAATTACTTTTTAATGTTTATTATAGGTATGGTGCAACATTTAAAAAAAGATTATCTGTTATATGTCTCAAATAAATATAATAAATACAATTATAAAGATTTTCAAATATGAAGATAATTTTTGAAAAAATAAAAGTATAATTAATGAGCAATTTCTTTTATTTATTTTAATGAAATAGGAGAAAGAAATGGATAGGTCAGGTTAAATAAATGTTTATTACAGATAAGCTGTAACCTTTAAAAAAAGAATATCAATAATGATATGTCTCAACTAAATATAATAAATACATATAAAAAATGTACAATTCTGAGACAAAAGGAACAACAATACTTTTTTTGTTTATTTACAATGAAAAGAAAGACTTACTTTAATATAGACAAACATATATACAAAATTTATCATGTTTTCATAGATAATTTACATTACCTCTGAATGAGGCTACCTCCTGTGCCTGTGGTGATGCCTACGTGGTGGGGATGGGCTGCTGGAAGAAGACCTCCTCCGATGATGTGAGTGGTGCCTCCTCCTCTTATGAGGGCGCCTGTCCCTCCTGTCCCTGCTTCGGGACCTCCTTCGCCTCCTATCAGAGCTAGATGAGCTACTAGAGCTAGAGCTAGAACTAGAGCTCCTTTTCCGAATCCTCTCTGACTTTCTAGTAACAGAACTTCTACTACTACTACCTCCCGTGTTACTGCTACTACTGCTGCTTACTTCCTTCGTAACAGTAGCATGTTTATCTCTAGGTGAGGCTATCATTTTTGAAACTGGCTCTCCATGAGAGATATTGGGCACTTCCCGATGTCTATGATGATCTTCAAATTGCTGACTTTTGTAATCAATTTGTTTTTCTTTTGAAGCTCCTACATTAAATAAAAAGAAAACACACACAAAAAAGAAGTTAATAATGCATGTAGATCTTACTTGATATAAACATGAAGAGAAATATTAGAAAAAAAATATATAAAGACTTCTTTTAAGTGGTTTTCTTGTAAATATCTTTCAAAAAAACAGAAAACTTTAAGGCAGAAAAAATGTCGACACATGATATAAACACACTTTGAAATTAATAATTTCATAATTACTGTCAAAAGAATGACATTTATTAAGAGTAAATGATGGCAAGAGAATCTTAAACAGGCAGAAGAAATTTCATAACTGCTTACTTAAATAAAGAAATAACAAAGGGCTTAGTGAACCCGAAGATTACTGCTGGCATTACCAATCCCAGGCCCCTAAATCAGATTTAACACAATCTTCCCAGCTTCACTTCGGTCCATCCCTCAGATATTTACCAGGCCACACAGCAAATATTACCTTACATTAGCAAGCCCAACAATTTTATTCAATGCCCATTTTATTCGCCGCCATGTATCACCTCAATTATATTAACAGGATACAGTTCATACAATTCAGCAATGTACAATTGTCTAAACTCTCTGGTTGACTCGTGCTTCTTTGATCCTAATATTCTATGAATACTTTATTTTCAAAAACTTAAGAGCCTAGTCCACACTAGTAGACATGTGCGATTTTGGTCTGTGAGACGTGTCTCAAGTTGTCTATAGACCAACCCCCGTCTACAGGTCTGTTGTGAGACCAAAAATCACAATCACAGGCCTAAAGTCTCCTAATCTGAATGGGAAACTACATGCCATGTCAGAAATGTTGCGCAACATTTTGAGAGTGTGGCGGTCACTCAGTGTATAGAGGCGAGACAAACCAATATCTGTCTTCAGCTGTTTACAGTTATTTTCCGAAGTTTTACAGTTCTTTTGAAACAATGTGGTCTAACGATAAAGTTTTCAAACTAATTGAAGGTCACCACGCGTTTTATTGTTTGTGGAATGTTACGAATAAATACTACAAAACCAGTTAAAAAGAAAAGTGAGCCTGGAAGCCCTGGCTGCATAGCATAATGTGACAGTGGCAGAAGTATTTTTTTTTTGGTTTTCGCGCTCTTCCACTTGTAATTAGCACTAAGCAGAAATGCATTCCACACAAAACAATACCCTCCATGGTAGACTGAAGATGTGACTGAGAAATTTAGATCACAGTGTTGATGCTTAAAGAAACAAAAAATTGTGTCTCTAGACGGTCTATAAGTTGTGTCTCATGACAAATCATGCACCATGGTCTACTAGTGTATACTAGGCTTTAAGACATAGCTAATCCCTTAATATAAGCAGGCACGTTTTGCATTCATAAAGAACCATAGGTGGAGTAAATAATGGAGGAGTAAATTCCAATTTTTAAGTTGTGAGACAACAGGAGATAACAAACCACTTAGCTCGGTTTTGACACAGAAAAATAACAAGCATTTCCTTAGATACATAAAGTTTTCTATGTGTTCAAACATATTTCGTTCTATATTGATATCACCGAAATTGTTGCCATTTTCACAGCTAACCATATATTTTTTGATATCCGTATTTATCACGAGTCCCAATTCTTTAATGGCTTTAATTAACATTGACATATTTAGTTTTATAATTTCCAGGTCTTCACTTAACAGGACCAAATCATCAGCATAACCACAGATTCAAACATTTTTCAGTATGCATTACCTACCTGGGGATGTTCTAATCAGGAGTGCTTAGAAGAGGTTTCATGGCGCAAGATGTACCATCAAAATTTATGGGGGGAGGGAGCACATTTCGATTGGGTTTTGAATCTTTGGAATAAAATGTTTCAAACCAGGGAATCAAGGGAAACATGAAACTGACAGCAAGCAAACGAAATTGTATGTGTTCTACTATTTTTCTAATTCTACTTTCACATACACTGTTTTTAAGAAGAGAAGAGCAATAAAATATCTTGGGGGAAGGGGGGGAGAGTTCATGGGCCACTGACCTTGGGATGTTTGTGTACCCCTGGTTCTAATGCTAAATTAAACATGACATAGACCAGGAGCTACTGGTCACTTCATTTAACTGAAGGAGTTACACCTAATAACCATTTTAAATTCTCTGTTAATCTCATCTAATCACATAGCCGGCTTCCCTAAGGTTTTTATGTTTTTGGAATGCTGAATATGAATTTGAGATATATGTATAATAGCATCCCTAATTTTCAACTTACCCCATGAATCCCCCACAGCAGTTGTGAGACAACAGGAGACCCAAACGGGAGTCTAGTTTACCTCTTGATAATGAAACTAAACGAAAAATTTACAATATACACAATTATAATTGTGTATAAATTACTCAAGTAAACTTTGCTCTAACTGATTGTTATTTTTATCATACTCTAAAAATGATATAATAGGTTTATGATAGCCTAAATATGTAATGAATACTTTTGATTCATTAACTCATTTTATTTCATCACTTTTGATTGAAATTTATTTACTAAATATCTAACAAAAACTCTATAATTTTTTTTATATAACTTCAGTAACATGGGTCAATATTTTCAACTAATTTGTCGAAACTGTATCAAGTTCAACAGAAAATACATAATTTCTTATTTTATTAAAAAAATATATCTAAATTGACTTCCACATTCTTCAAAACAGTCATTATTTTATTTTATTTTTGGGGCGCTGTATTTTTCCCATCATAACTCTCTAACTCAGCGTCACATCAAATAAAATTTCGATTTATAGCTCATTACAAATGAAATGCTGAAAATTTTTCTTGCTTACAATATGCAGGTACGATTTTTAGTTTCTGAGATTTTTTGTCAAAATGTTCAAAACAGTTGATATTATTTAGCTGTTTTTGGCACTATCAGATGGCACCACAACCCTGTGATGGTTCCTGGCCTCCTCCATTCGGCTCGGTTTTGGGCTGCTGCCTTCCAATTTAGAATGCCAAGCAGGTTCCGTGGGTCTTATACCACGCCATCCATCCACCGGACCTTGGACAGTCCGACTCTTCTTGGACAATGTATTTCTGCTTCCATGACTCTTTTAGCCATTTCGTCGGGACTCGTCCGTGCAACATGCCCTGCCCACCCAAATAAAGGTCACAATATCTATACCCTGGAGCAGCTCATAGAGTTCCTTATTTCTTCTTCTCCAGCTTTCCTCATCTATTACCGGTCCATAGATTCTTCGAAGGATCTTCCTCTCGAAGACCAGGAGATTATTTCTATCCTGTGCGGATAGTGTCCATGTCTGGGAGGTGTATGTTAGGACAGGCCTGATTAGAGTTTTATATAAATGGACCTTTGTTTTCCTGCTAATGAGCTTGATCCGGAGCTCTATCAACAGACCAAAACAGCATCGGTTAGCTGCTGTGATCCTTCGCTTTATTTCAATGGCAAAATTATTTGTTGCTGTGAACTAAGATTCAAGGTAAATAAACTTCTCCACTCTCTCAAAGGTACAGCTTTCTATGACAACCTGTTTTTCTTGAGGTCTGACTCCTCCGGTGTACATATATTTCGTTTTGTTTTCATTAATAGCCAGTTCCATGCGTGCGGCACTTCTCTGTAGGCTTAAGAAAGATTCAGTGAGCGCAGTAGAGGATCACACCACTATATCAAGGTCATCCACATAACCGAGCAGTTGGACCAATCTATTGAATATGGTGCCATTATTCTGGATACCCATTTCTCTCACTACTTTTTCAACAAAAAATTAAACAGGAGGCATGCCAAAGCATCTCCTTGCCTTAGTCCTTTGTTTGAGCCAAATTCAGAAGAGTGTTTGGGCTGTATGCGGACACTGCACCTAACATCTCTCATAGTCATTTTTTTTAAGGCATATTAGCTTTGAAGGAACCTTCATTTCTCTTAGTGCCTCATATAACATAGGACACTTCGTACTAACGTACACATTCCTGAAATCCATGAACAAGTGGCGGGTAAACATCTTATGTTCATGGGCCCTTTCCATGATTAATCAAAGGATATGAATTTGGTCCTCATGTCAAATACAATGTTGAATTATAGCTAATCACAAGAATGATGAAATGCTGAAAATTTTGCACAATTATAGTATGCAGGTCTGATTTTTAGTTTCTGATTTATTTTAAAAAGATATTTTCACATTAACATTTTCATTTTTCAAATATTAACAAACACAAACCTAATCTCAGGGATTGATTTTATTACGTTTTATTTAATTTTGTTAAGTTGCTTCTGGGACAGCAATTATTAACCCAGTCAAATAAGGCAGAAAAACGAACCTTGCAACATTTGATAGTACTGGATTTAAATAAAATGAATTTCATAATGGGTTCCACTTAAATCTAATTACAAAAAAATTCAACCAAATACCTTTTTATGCCTACGATAGGGAATTTTTCTTCCTCTAAAGTACCTTTCATTTTTGTTTATCAAAAATATTTAACTGGTCATGAAATAATTTGATAACTAGGAACCAGATAATAGGAAATCAGATAAAAGTTTATGAGCTCTAGTATAATTTAATGTCTTTCAAACAAATTTTATAGAAATTTTAGCATAATAATACTTATATGACCTGACCTTCAATTCTAACATATAAGATATAGAAAGCAGGTAAATTAGGATCAAACAAGACATTGAAAGATATTTAAAGTGAAACCACAAGAAAATTAAATGAATTACAAACATTTTATATAAAACGAATATGACACTTTATAAGAGCAAATATGATTGGGTCATATGATAACTTACAATAAGCAGACTGAGGCATTGATGAACTCCTCATTAAGTGTCATAATAATAATAAATTTAGACAGGAGATACAATGCAATTTACAAATGTTTTTATTTAATATGGCTAAATACCAAATTAATAGGTCGTAGATAACCATTCTAAATAAAATCTTCAAATAATATTTAGAATGTTAGTTAGATGAAGTAGTAACTTCTCAGTGAAGGATCCCAGAGTTATAATAAATTTGGTGGGTTTCTTACCTGAAAGTTGTAGCGTCTGTACCTGACCTTCTCTTTCTTCAGAACTCTCCCTCTTTTCCTTAAGCAATTGCCTTTTTTCCCTTTCTTCTTGTTCAATCAATTCTCGCTCTATAAACTTCTCTGTTTGAACAAATTCATTTTTCAATCTTTCAATCCTGTCCTACAAAAATAAGTAAATGAATAAATAATAATAATATATGTACAATCAACATATATAAACATACACCAACACTAGAATACATACAGGAAAGCAATCCATTCTAGACAAAAAAGTAATATGGAAAATATTAATTCTTAAAAACTTACTTTTATCTCTTGATCAGAATCTGGCTCATTTGTTACCTTCTCATCGCTACTTTCTCCGCTGTCAGAATCACTCTCGTATATGCCCAGCCCTACGGAATGGAAAAATAACATGAAATCCTACAAAACTTTTAACTCATATTTCTAATGTTTAATTTGAGGCAGACCAGTAGTATATAAAAGAAAATTATCCCTCAATTTTGCCTTGGATTTTATTATAACAAATTCTGTAAACATAATGGAATCACTTTAAAAAAACAACAGTATACTTAAATATCTTTTTAAACAAAGTTGATATACCACAGTCAAATAACTACTTCTACTAGGCAAAATTAACCAATTGACCCACTTGCCATACGAGTTCTCTACCTTTAGCAATTGCAGTACTAAGGGGCAAGCTGAATTTCACATAAAAATTTTAGAAGTAATTAGAACATACATCTCAGGTAGTATATATAGTATAAAGCAATCAACCTGAAGACACTCAGTTAAATCAATTTTTTTTCCCCACATAAATTACCAATGTTATTCAGCTAATCATATATACTTGGTCATCTATTCATCACTGTGTATGAGACAGGCCCAAATTTAGCACGGGTGAAACACCAAGAGCACTGTCAGCTGTGTAATAATTATACACTTACTAAATTCTGTACTTAAGTTACTCCCAGGAGTATCAAAGTGAGAAACGTTTTCCAAACTGATTGATACTTATGATTACTGTTCTGTTTCTGAGGATCATTGCTTGATTTTAGAAATGGTAAAGAATCGGTCAGTAAACTGGGGAGTGAGGTAGCTCAGTGGTAGGGCGCTGAGTTACCAATATTCAAGGTCCCAGGTTTGAATTCTGGGTTATGTCAGATAAAATATTTATTCTGTTTCATCAGCCATGGATCGTCCCTGGAGTTGGAAGACCCTCCTGCGGCACACCCAGCCTCTATAAAGTGGGTACCCTTAATGAAATGATTAATTAGTTTGTAGTGGCTGTACTTCATGGGTTGTAGTGGTACAGGTAATTTCTGTTTCTTTTATAAGTTAGTTAACTATTGATCCAATATAACAATGATTTTTGAAAGTAGAATGAGTGAATAATTGAAGAGAAGTTGGTTGGGGTTATCAGTCAAAATAAAAAATGAAATAAATAAATTATATTTATTTTTTACTTTGTATTTTTACAGAAAACCAAAACCAGCTTCTCTTGAACAATAATTTTTGAAATCTGACAGGTGTTTCTGAAATTAGTGCGTTCAATCCAACAAACCAAACTCTATAGCATTACATAATAGTATAGATATATAATTTTAAATCATTAATAAACGAATTCCAAGTTCTTGTGATTTTAAAACTGGTACCATATTCAAGCAAGTTATGAGTTTTATATGCTAGTTATAAATCAGCAAAATCAAGGGAAACTTTCTTTTGAAAGAAGAGGACATGATTATGAATTAATTTAATGTAAATAACTAAAAAAGAGTCTTCCAATGTCATTAACAATGCAACTGGTAAAATCAAGTTTAACACAATATTTACTTACATAAATTCAAAAATATCTATTATTAAGAAAGATAAATGCATCTACTACTATGCATTAATTCTGAATGTAGATTAAAATATTTTTCCATGATTAACAGCAAGTATAAAATAAATAATAAAAAAAATAAATAAATAACTCAATAAATAATATACAAAATGAGAGCTATTGTTAGATTAATTAAACAAGACAATTTAGTAATTAAACCAACTATAAATATAGTAGAACCCCAATCTTTTGTGGTTACAATTAACAATGCTCAATATTACAAAAATAACAATGGGTCACATTTATTGTCTACAACTACTAAACAACTCTATTTAAATTGTCTCTTATCATCTATTAGGAAATTGTCCCCTATTCTTGTATGCAAACAAATCATAGCACACTTTTCCGTTTGGTTTTAGTCTTTGTGGTGCATTATTATTCTGAGCGATCAAAAATGAATGTTAAAAGTAACTCAGTCGTTCTTTCCATAAAGAAATAATTGTTGATCATACTATAAACTGTTCTGTAGAACATGATTAAAATGCAAAAAATCTGGTGTGCACAACACACAACTTTCATTTACGGCCATTCATTCATTCATTTCTTTGAATTAAAATTATTTTCTGGCAATGCTGGGCAATTATAAAATTTATGAAGTGCATTTTAAACGGAGGTAAAGCTTAAAGCTTACAGATAACAAGTCATTAAGACCATAGTAATTACAAAAAGTCTCTTTATTATATCGATAGTAGGTAATAAATCTAGTATAAGAAAATAAATTAGATAGTGACTAATAAAAATCTAGTCACTCCATCTGCTTTTATAAACCACACAACTTCAGTCTCTGAGCCTTTCAGTTGACAGAATAATTAACTCCAATTTCAACATTTTTGAGTAATGTAATTTTAGTGATATTTTTAGTTGAAGAAGTTATCTATACAGACAGTGAGTAAGTTGATTCCAGAGCAGGTGATTGCAGTGTTGAAATTAGTGTTGCCCAAAATTGGTCTTGCACTTTATAAGACGAAGACCAAGGCCGCCTAACTGTTGCAAGACCAAGACCAGGACTAGTAAAAAAATCATCGATTTTTTAAAATAAAAATGAAGGCAAAATAGTAACTAGTACTTGAAAATCTTAGTTATTATATGTTAATAATTGGTATAACCAATATACTTTTGCATTTAACTCTGCTAATTTTTAATTTAGGCTTAGTAAGGTTTCTCCTATCTAAAGAATTACAGTAATATCTCATAGTAATAAGCTAATAAGTAACTGTAAGACTGTTGCGAGATTCTTGCGCAAGAGCATGACCAAGACTGAGCTTGCAATACCAAGACTCATCTCGGTCTCGCATTTGGGCAACACTAGCCATTAGTTATTAAGCTGTTATTTCCCATTGTAAAGTTTACTGAAACAAAATTACTAGATTTTCATTGCCTTGTGATGGATAGGTCAAAAGTTGTTTCACTAATAGTAAGTGGATAATTTTGGGATTTCACAAAGGGAAAATGCATCAAATTATTTCCTAATTTAATTTTCTAAAAGGTTAATTGATGATTTTTTGGAATAAACAGCCGATAGATACCCAATTATTTAAATATACTATTTTATCTAGAGTGAATACTCTATAGTATATATTTGAGGTTATAAACATATCCATGAAATATTTTTATATTTAACTTCTTCTTTCACACAATTACAATGAAATAGTATTTTGAACAACGACATTGACTTGATTAGGTGGATTTTAAATACTTTAAATCAATCTTAGAAAAACATTTAAAAGTTTACATATAGTAGGAAAATTTCATTTAATTTCCTTGAAAACATATGATTTACCTTAAATAATATTAGTTTCAAAAAATTATTTATAATTTTTTCGCAGCTCTCTGTTACCTTTTACAACTTTCTACATTAGATATTGCTTTTTCTAAAACTCTCTGCTTTCCAATGATATATTATACGTATAACTTCTGACTAGTATTTCCGGAGATTCATTTTTAACCTCGGTAAGCATTTTTATTTTTTTCTCCTTTATTTAATTACCAAATTCTTTAAAAAGTTATTTTTAGCATTTTTTCATAACTTTTAATAATGTGAGATGATTAATTATTTAAAATAAACCATATTAAAGGTACTTTAGAGGAAGACGCATATGAACATTGGGCGTTTAAGTCCTGTAAAGTGACATCAACGGGGATAAGACCTAATTGATATTAATGACCACTTAATTATACAATGATACACCGAGTTTAAACAAAATCATTAAAGCCATTTTTGAAAAAATTGTAAAAATGTGTTTCACCGTTGATATAATATAAAGTTTCACTTCCGGTTAGCCGATTTTAAAGAAAAAGTTGCTGTCACATCTAAGGCATATAACTACCTTAAATACATAATATCAGTTTTGTACGAACGACTCTACGAGTTTCATACGAGCTGGGCTGTACACACACACACACTCACACACACAAACCATTTTGCGGGACTTGGTTATTTTACATTGCAATGTATTTCATATACAGGTAAGATGGTGCCTATACCTAACGAAAGATGAGCAAGCTGCTTGTACAGCAAAAGAAAAATTGTGGTTCTTTTTTGTTTTACTAGCAGTAGTATGTTGTTATGTAGCCATGCATCATATTCCACTGCTTCTAATACCCGTATTGCCTATCAGGCACGGTAGGGTTGAAAATAATCAAGGTTCTACTTTTTTAATTTTTAAAAATGACTAGAATTTGTTAAATTTAAACCATTTTACCAGTAGGATTGAATGAAAAAGGAAAAACATGATACAGATAAAATATATTTAAAAACCTGATACTCACCTAATTTTCCAGTAAGGGAGGTTAATGCCGGGGTCTTGCGTACTGTTGTTGCTGGAGCTTTATCATAAATAGACATTTCTTTAGTTAAGCAAAGTAAAACCAATCAAGAATAATTTTCACATGAGAAAAGCTGTATAAAACTATGGTTTTCAGCTAATCATGTAACTTGAGTAAGTTATATGTTACAAAACTTACAACAGAAAAAAATTAATCCAAAACTTAGACATAAATTATAATGCTGAATAAAATTAGTTTTTTATTACAATTTAAAATTTCTCCATCATATTTAGCCATCTCACACTGATTGTTGGTATACTGAAATGTATAATTTGGTGAAAAGAATTTTATTCTTATTAAAATTCTTCAGTAATTAATAATAATATAAATTATTTTAAGCTACTTATAAAATATAAATGCTTATAAAATTGAGATCACTACAATTTTTGAAGTGTTTATGAAAACTCGGAGCAATATACCTTTTTTACGAAAATACTTTGACACATCTTCAACTGCTTTTTCAATTTCTTCTGAGGTAACTTCCATGAGAATCTGAGTAAGAATCTTTCTAACATCTCCCATCTGTAAATGCATCAGAATCATGGGAATAAAGAAATTAAGTGTGTACTATAAATTAGTAAGAAAATAAATGTAGAGCAAAGTCTGGTATTAATAATAAAAAAAAATTTTGCTTCAAGGAAAACTGATTCCAAATTTTAATCACTATATTACTAACTGGTCCACAGCAGTAGTTTTAATTACCTATCTTTCAAGCTTTATGATTTGTCAATAGGAAATAAAATCTAAAAAGAAATTATTGTGGAAGTATATTGTTGTCAAGGAAAAATTCATGAGAAAGCAGTAGATAAAATTTGTTAAAATCGATATTGCATCATCTATCTAGGTATCAAAACCAGTAATCTCTTAAAATTTCATCAACATAAAAAATAACAACAATAGATGTAGGTCAGTCACATGGATTTAAATATCAAATACTGTTTAAATTAAATTTATGAAATAAAGTTTAAATTGTTATAACCAAGCATGACTAGAGTATATTGTAAATATAACCTCATTTCCCATATGTTCACTGCCTACAACATTTCATAGCCATTATATTCGTAATATTATTATTATTAGTTGGGCACTAAAACTCAGTGACGAGTCCTTGCCTCCTCAACCAGCTTTCTCCAGACGTCTTTGTCTGTGGCAGACAGCGTCCAGTTCCTGACGCTGAGCATCCTTTGCCACACCAGCAGTCCATCGAAGCTTTGGCCTTCCTCTCTGTCTTCTTCCGAAAAGATGGCCAGCTCAACTTAACCTTCCTCTTCGTAGAACTTGAGCAACATCGGGTTCTCAATATAAATCTAAAAGCTCTTGATTGCTCCTTCTCCTTCATTTATTGCCTACTTTCTTTCCTCCTAATATCCTACAAAGAACTTTCAAAGATTTGAAGGTCTTGTTCAATATTCGTAATACAGGATACGTTCAACTTAATTTTGGAGTAGAATTTGATTCTAGACAATTTATACATTCATGACCAACAATTATTGTTCAAACTTTGGTTCAAATTGAATTAGAAATTTTGAAATGGAAGCGTATCAAAGAAAATACGTTAGGACATTCACAAAAGGAAAGGTAGTAGACTGAATTTGATAATATCGATACCTACTTGAGATACTACAGCCTCATTTATTTATTTATGTATTATTGATCATTTTCTAACTAATCCATAACTTTCCTTCAACTGTAGGTCAAATATAATAAGCCATTTTTACAATATAGACATTGCAAGGAAAAAGTGTTTAGCATACTTAAGGAAAGTAGAGGATGGAACACTAGTGTAAGAAGACAGCGGAGAAGATGGGCATGGGCAAAACTCCAATAGCACATTCACAAAAGATCACTGGTTAACTGTTGTTTCAACCTTCAGTTGAAGTGCTAAATGATTAAGACGATAAATAAGATTCTGATGAAGGTTAAAAATTTGGATGTCATAACATCGAGGACAAATAGGATGTTGAGGTCATGATGTAAGGTTTTGTTTGTGAGATAATATGGAGCATTGATAATTGCTTTAAGGACTTTAGACAGGAAGGATTTTGTTAGTAAGTAGCTTGTTATCAATTGAAAGATGGGATATGCGATTCAGGTTTGCCGAATCTTGGATTAAATTCTTGTCTCTTAGTCTGGTATGTGGATTCGAAATAAGTCTTTTGTTTAAATGGAAACCAAAGTAAATTGTATCAGAGATGGGTAGAGGTATCAAGTTAAAAAGAAATTGGTAGACAGGATCTAAAGCAGAGGATGAATGTGAGACGCTTACATTTGGATTCATTGACTTTAATGTACCGATTGTCCCACCTCTTCTCAATTAGAAAGAAAGGTCCCTTTTGAGGTTTAAGGATGCCATTTCCTTTCAAATGCACAGGATCTGTGGACCAAAACACATAGACCTTACTGAACTGGAATGTCCTCAACAGAATCCAAACTGGAAGGATTTTTTTATGCTTTGAGTATGGGTAGAATATGTTTGAAAAGAATTTTTTAAAGAATCGGGAGGAGAACAATTGATCTATAGCAGGAGACTCCAAACTACAGCCTGCAGACCCATAAGTACCTTCAAACCCCCGCTAAAGTTTCTTTTATTACATGGTAAATTTTGAAAAACTATGAAATTTAGCAAATTACTCACACACGAGGTTACTACATCTATCGCATAGGTTTTTTTCTGTTAGAAAGCTCATTTCACAGTTGAAGTGTAATTAATGCAAACAGATTTTTTTTTTTTCATCACAAACCATGGCCTGCGGAACTTGGGTGGAGGTGGAACTTAGTCAAGGTCTCAATGTGGCCTGCGGGCCAAGTTTGGAGACCCCGGGTCAATAGGGTGGTAGATTGGTATGGTCTTTATCATAGGTAGAGAACCGCAGCCTCAGAGATTGCATGTGGCCTCTGTGACATAGTTGCGGCCTCCAAACGTTTTGGCTTAATCCACACATATATTATTACAGTAAGGCTCAAAATCTTTTTGTTTTGTACCAAATATAAGCTCCTGTCATGCTCAAATACCATGAATAGGGTACGTACCGTTGGATTCAGAATTTCATGGGGGGTTAGCGGGTCAAATTGGACCTTGAAGATTTTAATGCGTACAGTAAAACCCAGATAGTTCCTTCGTATTTATCGGATCCCGCATTTTAAGCCCAAAAACGTACTATTTTCGAGATAACGCAAGGCATAGGGTTAGCATCCACAGAACGTTAAGTTAATTGTAGTGCTGTCATTGAATACATAACTCATTTCGTCGACTTGAGGCCTCTATCATCAAGAGAGGAGTTTATATTATTTATCGATGGTGTTTTTTATCATTGTTAATTCTTCACCAAATCTCAAGATTGAGCAATCAATTTTGAAGGCTTCCTTCTCTTTCAGGCGGACAAAATAGTCCAACCACCTCGAAAATTCAGGCACACAAGTTATGAAAGAAAACAAACTTTATTTGCAAATAACTAAAAAACTTTTCCCTTGGTTGTGCCTACGTTCCCCATGATTATATAAAAGATTACTAAATTCCCTACAAAAGGAAAAAAAAATCATCGAAATCAATTAGAGATTTTTCCAATATTTTTTTTTCTTCATTTTATTATTTATGTTTTCTTATTTTCGATTAATTAGGAGAGTTCTATTATAGCTCATTTCATTTGAAAATAACTATATATTTGGCAAATAGCTATAGTACCAGTACAATGTTGAAATAATTTGTACTGACCGAAGGAGGAAAGTGGGCTAAAATATTTTTTTTAAGGAAAAACAGAGTTGAGATTTGTATTTCACACCTCTATAAAGCCTCAAATACGCATTTTCATAGAAATAAAAACAATTTTTTTGTTTTGTACCAAATCGGAACCAATCCTCTCCCCTTCGATCTTCTTTCGAAAATGACAAAAAGTGGGGTACCACAAAAATGAATCCATGTATCCTCACGAAAATTTACATTAAATTAGGACTACATAAGCTACACGAAATGACACAAACCAGACCCCTGTAAATAATAATAATAATAAAACTAGAGATATAAAACAAAAACCTTTGAGTTTTTCCATATTACCTGAACAAAATAAACAAATTTTTAGAAGAGATGGGACTTTACAATAATATTTAAAACTCTATCAAGTTGAAAAAAAATTCAAGAAAACGGGTGATGATAAAAACAAAAGTTGTTCGACCTTTAAACCAAAATAAATAAAAACAATTTGGAAATTAATAGAATTAAGTTGAATATATCTATGTAGGTGCGTGTATTAGTGATTAATAAAATTGTGGTGTGTCCATTCACACGACTTTCCTATCTATTTCTGTAAAGTTTTTATATCTTTACATATGATCATCAAAAACCAAAAAAAAATTGAATTAGATTTATTTTCCTGAAAATTGATCAAAGAAAAGATTTGAGTACGATTTATTCGATAAACTAAAGCAATGTAAACCGGCTTAAGGTAGAGCAGTGTAAAAATTTGTCAAACAATAATATCTGTTAAAAATTGAGGAAATAGTGAAGCTTGTGTGATGCGGGCAGATTTTCTTACTTTCACTTAGTTATCTTTTTTCTCTCATTCACCCTCTCCTGACACCAAGATATGAACCCGTAATCTTACATTGGAAATTGAATAGATGTAACTTCGTTAATAGTTGTTTGAAATGAACGATTTTTATACAGTTTTGTAGGAAATTTCATTACGTTTTAAAAAAACAGGCTAAATGTGTTTAAGAGGCTCTGCAACATATAGATCCCTCAAAAACCGCATATCAGAAATTTGACCCGATTGCAATAGTTTACTTACCTACCTAGTAAAGGTAGAAAAGTAATAAATTAAAATAGAAAATAGAATATGCTGTACCATCGCTAATACTGATTCAATTCCGACTGTAATACTGATTACTTTCACTGATTTTTTATTATTTTGTTGGTAATTTAATTACCTTTCAAAAGTTTTATTATAAATTTTACCATAGAATATATAATTAGCGAGTTAGTTAGGTCCCAAAACATTTTTCATTTCATTTCTTTCATAACTTTTTTTCCTGAATTTTCTCGAGAATTTAGTCCATATACGAAAATTGAAAGGACAATTATTAGAACATTATAGGGAAGTTTCATCAAACTGTTAGAGCCGTTTTTGTGCTAGAATCTATAGAAAAACATGCTTTTCATTTATTACGCAGCAGCTATTGCACATGGAGCATCCAATTTCTGTCACAGGCATCAGTAGTCAAAACCCTACAGAATAAAAAAAGGAGCAACAAAATCGGTTCACTAGTTCCCAAGAAAATCTTGGTCCAGACAGACCGATGGCTAAAAATGTGGTTTTCGAACTCGGGGAGCTCTAAAACGTATAGATCCATCAAAAACCACATATCGGAAATTTGACCCGATTGCAATATTTTCCTTACTTAGTATGGTAAGAAAGTAAAAATAGCAACAGTAAAATATAAAGAATTGTTGTGGCCTCCATTAGCACTACCAAATCTTACTGCTGTGGACTCTATTATATATGGTCTATATTATTGATAGATTTGAAGGAAGAATACTATGTTTAAGAAAAAGGATAATTATAAAGTGTTTGTACATCAGAGGAAAGTGAGTTGTGCCAAGGATACAATTGTATAGAAGGGTAAGGAAATTAATAGCTTTTTTTGGAAAGTTGGATAATATGAAAAGAATCTCTTTAAAATGAATAAGAATGTTTTATGAAAATTTTGAAGTTCTTATTAATGTCTCTACTATACTCCTTGATAAGTGAGAGAACAACAAATGAAGAATTCTGTTTTGTTTTTTCTAACCTAATAGGTCATACAACACTGGGTCAGTAGTATTACTATAGGGATTGATTAGTCTTATTGCAGAGACAATTTTCCTTTAAGGGATAATACTAATTTCTTATTAAGTATTCTGATCCTTCAATGTATTCATAATAAAGTAAGCAGCTTCACTAATTTTGTGTGCTTATAGACTTTCTTGAAAATAATTAATTTAAGATTAAATTAATTAATCTTATGAATAAACATGTTTTCCTTACATGTCTTATAATTCAAATGTAATAGAGAAAAGATATCTAATAAGTGAGTTTTCATATCGGTATAATAGTTGTTATCACATTGAAACATACCGATTTGATGAAATTCAGGAGTACGAATAAAAGAAATGCAACTTACAACGGCTTGAAGTATCTGTTCTTTCGTCCTGAATACAGGCTTGGGTGGTGATACTTGACGCACATCAAATCTAGATTTACGAGGTTTAATTTCTTCAGTAATCCCTCGCTCCTTTTCTTTGTCATCAGCTTCATCATCAGAAGTTTCACTTTCCTAAAAAAATTTAGATTAAAAGTGATAAGAATAAAAACAAAATTCATTACAGTAAATATTTTAATAAATCATACTCTAATATGGAAACAGTAGCTTATGGAACTGATCTATAAAATTATAAATAACATCGGAGATTATTTGTACAGTTCAAATAGAGAGAAAAAAAAATAGTAATCTCGACAACCACATAAAAAAAATTATATATATGAAACTAGTAAGAAATTGTATTACACTTCTCTTAATACCTAATAAAAAGTCCCAAAGATCTAGTTTATCTATCTACAAATTAAATGAAGGGTATCCAATGTGCGCTATATTCCAAAACAGGGAAAGTGAACTTTCTTGAGGAAATCCCTATATGCCAATATGCCTTTCATCTTTTCTAATGAAGACAATGGATAAGATACTAGACAAGCACATTAAAGAACACTTATTGTCTACCAACCAGCGACATCCTGTGAGGTATCATTTCATAACTTAAGTCACAAGACTAGAAATATCCTTAGAACAAGAGGTAATAATGGTAGACGTCTTTGAGAACAATGAAGGTGCCTTTGATAGAACCTCCTACGTATTAAAGATGCATAAAGGAATAGAGATGTAGATCCTATGTCATCTAGATGGATTGTAAGGATGCTGGAGGACAATGTTCTAAAAACTGATAGTGTATAAATTTCCACCCTTCATGATCCACCATCATACTTAAGATGTTACAGCAACTTATTCGTCAAAATTACCTGCCTGGAAGTGGCACTTTCTGTAGTCGATTTTACACATTTTTACAATTTCCCTTTCTAGCTATTTTGTCTTTTTGTATCTGTAAATCTTGTAAAATAGAAATGTTTTGTTAATATTAAATTTCTTTTTGTCTATTTCAATAATCATCATAAATATGAATAAGAAGGTAGTTGTTATCAGTGTTCAGCTTATGGCGGATAGCAGTCCATGGTGACCCGCTAAATCACAAGTACCGACTGGTGTTTAACCACTGTTAACCACAGTTCAGGTTGATGGGCTTGATTTTTTATATATAAATTAAAAAATAATAGTAATAATAAACTTTCGATCTTTCTCGAGCATCTGGTGTGGTGCAAGCACCACACAACTTTCACTTACCATCCTTCTTTTAGGAGAAATAGGTATTTTCAGACAAATGAAAGAGAAAGTAAAAATCACAGACGGTTCAAAATATTTTTTGAAACAATGAAAAATTCTAATGTATTATACTTATATTTTTTCCCTGCTAATCCTTGCATTTAATGATTGTATATTTTAATTATTTATTAGATTATAATAAAATAATCAAGTGCCATGAAATATTTTTAGTCTGTCTTGAATGCCAATGATAATGAAGGTTAAATTTATTCATATTTTATTGTAGTTATTTTTATTTGTTTAAGTATTGGTAAATATATGTAAATTTTAATTTTTATATTAATGTAATCTATACAATTGAATATTATATAATATTAACGCTAGCTTTTATGAAAACCGCTCATGCTTATGACTATCCTTTGTCCAAGCTCGGGTTATTTCCGTTCTCTATTAATAACAAATTATATTAGGTTACTTCTCTTTTATAAAATTACCAAATTCTTTCATATTTTAAATACAAAAAATTAAAGGTATTTAGAGGAAGAAATTTTGAAAAATAGACATTTATACCGTGTTGGGTTTACTATTATTAATACTGTTGGAGAATATCAATGAGGATAAAATCTACCTTATATTAAAAACACTTAATTATACATTAGCATAACAAGTTTAATCAAAACCGTTATACAAATTTTTGTGTAAATCATAAAAATGTGTTAAATCGATTTTATAAAGTGCCACTTCTGGTTTGCCGATTTAAATTAAATAGTTGCTGTTAAATTGAAAAAATAAAACTCATCCTAGAAATTCAGGTACTATTTATTGTATTTTTTTAGGTTCTATTTTTTTAATATGAAGAGAACAGCAAGTGTGCACAGCTGAGAAACAGAATGTAATAGTTACCATCATTACTTATGTTTCTCATACCTTGTTATCTGATTATTTTCTTAGCCCTGATGAAGGCCTGAACTTCAGGTCGAAACGTCGGCATATGTAAAAAATAAATATTATAATTTATTTTTTGCCTTCCTTTTTTGACTGAGCACCCCAACTATTCTTCTCTTCTATATCAAAAAATATTAGACACATATCCCAATGTCCCTTCCAATGGGCCCTAGGAGCCAAGAAAAATAAAATATATTTTTAGGTTTAAGAGATTAAGAGCCTAGATTTTTAGGTTATTATATACCAATCAGTTTCCGTTTCATTTTTGAGCCAGGATGTGCACAAAAACACTATTTATTTATTTCCAACCCTCTCCTGCCTCAAGGAAATATGGGTATTTGCAGCAATGGGATGTTACTGTTACACAACAACCCACTGCTACATTTTTAAACTATTACATTCTGTTTCTCAGCTGTGCACACTTGCTGTTCTCTTCATATTAAAAAAATAGAACCTAAAAAAATACAATAAATAGTACCTGAATTTCTAGGATGAGTTTTATTTTTTCAATTTAACAGCAACTATTTAATTTAAATCGGCAAACCAGAAGTGGCACTTTATAAAATCGATTTAACACATTTTTATGATTTACACAAAAATTTGTATAACGGTTTTGATTAAACTTGTTATGCTAATGTATAATTAAGTGTTTTTAATATAAGGTAGATTTTATCCTCATTGATATTCTCCAACAGTATTAATAATAGTAAACCCAACACGGTATAAATGTCTATTTTTCAAAATTTCTTCCTCTAAATACCTTTAATTTTTTGTATTTAAAATATGAAAGAATTTGGTAATTTTATAAAAGAGAAGTAACCTAATATAATTTGTTATTAATAGAGAACGGAAATAACCCGAGCTTGGACAAAGGATAGTCATAAGCATGAGCGGTTTTCATAAAAGCTAGCGTTAATATTATATAATATTCAATTGTATAGATTACATTAATATAAAAATTAAAATTTACATATATTTACCAATACTTAAACAAATAAAAATAACTACAATAAAATATGAATAAATTTAACCTTCATTATCATTGGCATTCAAGACAGACTAAAAATATTTCATGGCACTTGATTATTTTATTATAATCTAATAAATAATTAAAATATACAATCATTAAATGCAAGGATTAGCAGGGAAAAAATATAAGTATAATACATTAGAATTTTTCATTGTTTCAAAAAATATTTTGAACCGTCTGTGATTTTTACTTTCTCTTTCATTTGTCTGAAAATACCTATTTCTCCTAAAAGAAGGATGGTAAGTGAAAGTTGTGTGGTGCTTGCACCACACCAGATGCTCGAGAAAGATCGAAAGTTTATTATTACTATTATTTTTTAATTTATATATAAAAAATCAAGCCCATCAACCTGAACTGTGGTTAACAGTGGTTAAACACCAGTCGGTACTTGTGATTTAGCGGGTCACCATGGACTGCTATCCGCCATAAGCTGAACACTGATAACAACTACCTTCTTATTCATATTTATGATGATTATTGAAATAGACAAAAAGAAATTTAATATTAACAAAACATTTCTATTTTACAAGATTTACAGATACAAAAAGACAAAATAGCTAGAAAGGGATCCTCTTCTCGGTGCATTTGCCATTGATATTCACACTAACACAAATATTTAGATAAATATGAATCGAGGTGTTATCTCACAGTTCCTAGGTGTTTTTTATTTCTCCACTAAGCTGAGCCCCATAATCCTGTGTCGAGTATTCCACTTGAAGGATCGACAAAGTTGTATTGGTGATTCACTTGAAAATGATTGTAGTTCGCTTCATTTAGTTGTTGGGTGTTTCCAAAAGTCAGAATATATTGTAATATACAACTTTTTCAGAAGTGAGTAAAAAGTTTAATAAATTAATGTTGAACAATTAAAAGGCAACCTAATCTAGTTCTACTAATGTAGGGAAAAGAAAATGGCTGCTCTGTAATTTCCCAAGAAGGAAAATCCCAAAGAGGAGAGGGACAAAGGTTTTTTTTGGTAAGCAGTTGTTGTGTGGCTGTAGTGAAGAGAGGACAGGAGAAGTGATCCTGGCTTGAGTGGGAAAAACCCAGTAATAGTGTTACCACCCTGGAAGTTGTTTGGCAGAGACTAGTTGTTTGGAATAATAAGAGAGAGGATTTCCCAGTAAGCTTGATTTGAGTAGAGGAAAGTATCACCATTATGGAAGTTGTGTTTTAGCAGAAGATTGAAAATCATTTGAAGATAAATGAATTTAGTGCTACAAAGGAAGAAACAGTATCTCTAGAAAAAAGGTTAGCTTGCCAATTCATACTTGACTTTATTTTAAAATCAGTGTTTAATTTTAGTATAAATAGTGTAAATAATAGTTTGTCTTAGTGTTTTGATCTGATTGTCAGTAACTCATACCTGAGATAAAATAATTATAAATTTCAATTTAATATATTAATATTCTTATAATTTTGTTTTTTATTTAACAACCTCTAATTTATTTTGGAAGTATACCAACGGCATAAAGTGATCTTCCACGAGATTATATGATTAGTTAAAAAATATAAGAGAGATGGTACAATATTTTGGTTCCCTCTTCTATATTATTTTTAATACACTCTAATAAGAGTTGTTACTTTGATGTCTTTTATTTTCACAATGAAACACTAATCAGTTTCTTGACAAACATCTATTGTTTAGGAAGCACTCTCCCTATATGATTTTTTCTTTTAGAAAAAAAGACTTCTGTTGATTTCACAAATAATAAATAAGCAGAGAAAAGTGATAAGAAGAGTTTCCACGGCGACCTGTTAAATCACAAATATACACCAGTCAACAGGAGATGGATAATCTTGTAAGAAAGAACGGACCCACTACCCAATATTCTTCAAAAGTTTGACTGTATATACTTAGCAAAGGAGGACGTGGTTTCCTAAATATTGGGGAAACTTAGCAGAAGCAGTAAACCTACACCAACATTTTCTCTTTAAAATAACATGCGAATCAGTTCAGTTAAAAGAATCGCATTTTCCATCTCTACTTCAAAAGTATTAGAAAAGTTAAAACATAAATATCTAACACGATAACTCTTGCCTTTATTAAATTGCCTACTCTAAGAGAAACTATTTTAAATAAATCAATTCTTTCTCTTTAGGAATTATTATATTTCAGTTAACATTTTAACTTATTATAAACTACAAAAAGACCCTTACAAATTTGCTTTTCTGAGGCTCTTCATACCCATTACCATCAAACTGAGATACAGCAACAGTTTCTGGAACACCAAGAGATTTTTTTAAAAGAGCTTCCTTACGTTCCCTTTCAAGTCTTTCGTTTTCAGCTTTCTTTTGTTTCTCTCTTTCCATCTTTTCCAGTCCTTCTCTAATCCAAGCAGGGAGTTGTTTTCTTTTTGCAGCATCTACAGAATTTGAATGGAATTGATGATACAAGATGGTAATTAATGAATTTCATTATATTTTTTTAAGTATTAAAAGTTTAGAAATAGAATGAAAAATGAAATATTAATAGACAAAAAATGAAAACATTTATAGTTAAATGATTTAGTCTCAGTAAATAATTATTTTAGTTTTACTAATAACAAACAATATGAATAACCAATTAACTCACCTATCTCTGTGACAGTATCTACCACTGGTTTTTTATGATTTCTACTTTCCCAAGAAGATGCCTCTTCTTTTCCAGAGGGAACTCTCATCTCATTTCCCCAAAATGTCTAAAATTTATAACAATGTTTCATATAAATTTTTCAAAAAGAAATTAACTAAAGTGAGGTTTTTAAGGGTACATCTAAATTAAAAAATGAAAAATCTTTGTTATTTTGAAAAATTCTTAGTCTTTTCTGAAACAATTAATATACATATTATAATGATAAATGTTTGATTAAAATTTAGATTGATAGTAATAGTGGTTCGGGATGTAAAGAGACAAATTTATGATAGGACTAAAAACGGAGATGGGTATGAGTCTTGCCCATCCTTAGCAGAAAGATCAGCCTTAGTGCCTTACACACTGCTAATAACTTCCCTTCCTATCCCTGCCATCACCACCTCCTTGTGGTTTCTTCCGGGGAGTCCTATGGAAATCACTGACAACAGAGGGAGGCCCATCACTTCTGATAACTCGATAGTTGTGGTAGTCCTGTTGGTCACATAAGCTAAGCTAGGTAGAGGACGCTCGAGCTATGGCAGAGGATGTATAAAAATATACTGTCTTTACTCGGTAACCTTCCCCCGTAGGTGGGGCACACCTATGGACACCCCACTGTACTTAAGGAAGAAGTATAGTATTAGTAATGGATGGAATTAAATAAAATTGATACAGCATAATTTTTTTTTAACCAAAACTGAACTTTCTTCCCACTTTGGACCATATCAAAAGAATTAAAATAAAGGAATATCTAAGAAAATATGTTTACACATGTGTAAGCAAAGATATTTGATGAACTTGATTAGGGACTATATAGACACCAACCTGAAAAATCTCTGCAAATCAGATAAATGATGGTAGATGATATGACCATCACATTGATTTCACTATAGAGAAACATACTCTTTAAAAAAATAAAAGACAGAAAGTGAAAGCAAATTTGTTCTTTGATGTCTAAAACTTAAAATAAGAGTAGAAATTTTTGATTCTGAGCATTAAAATCAACTGAATACCAGACAGCTCCTTGTGACATCCCTTGTCTTCCTCCTGTTCAAATACAGTTGCTTGGTTTGGTATGGAGGACTGTCCACAAGACTGAAGACTCGTGAATTGCTTCATAAGATTAATCTCTGGGATTCTCAGACATTCCTGTGTTTCCCGCTTGTACACTGAGTTGAAGTGGCTCTATCCTGCTTCCCTACGGCAATTCCTACTTGGTATTTTTCTTTTCGAAGTCCTCAGAACCAGAAATCCTCCCTACATTTTAGAACTCGTTACTCTAAGACTTTTCCCAATCCATTCTCTTACTATAACTGATCTCAAACCTATAGATCTACATACCCTTCCCATAAAACCACTTCCTTCAGCAAATCCTTCGTCATTCATACTACCTCCTTTTGGAACACCTTATCTAACTCCATGCGTCAAACCACTTCCACAAATTCCTTTAAACAACCCCTATTGCACCACCTACCATTCAAACTTCCACAAGCTTGTAGGAATTTTAAGGTTATGTAATTGCACTTTTAACTCTGCTATTATTCTTAGAGGATTCTTTTAATTCTACTATTATTCAGTCCCAGAATAAAATTATTTTTCATTTAATTTAATTTTATATGTATACTTAATTGATTTTAAGACAGTTATTGACTTCATCATTCAGAAGCATATATGAGAAGCTTTAACAGAAACAGGTATAGACTTCCACTATGAAGAAATCTACAGAAATGGAAAATCATTAGTTGCTTTTCATAGAAGTGGAAAAAAAATTAACATAAAAAAATAAACTTTTTCAGTGAATTTTGAAGTTAATATCACAAAAGGAACTGGATAAATTTTTTTATACTTATACATTTCATACCTCTTTATAGTAAGAACGTCTGACACAAGTTTGGTAACTAATTGGTTCAAGAGTTAATGGTATCAAATATGGCTGAAAATTATGTTATTTAAACAAAAAAGCATCATCCTACAATATAAAACTATGACATTGTATTGAACCTTAAGTTTATCATTACACATATTCTATGGTGGATATGAGTGGCCTCATATCGAAGACGGACATCATTCTCAGAGAGTGGAGAAAAAGTCAGTTTTTGTTTTATAGGTACAATTCAAACTTCTGATGGTTTTATTTAAAAATGTTCAAGTTGAATCATGAAAAAAATAGGATTTTACTTTTTTTAAAAAGTAATAGTAAGAGACCTGGCTTTTTTAAAAAGACCTGTCTTTGAAATGAAGCCACTCATATATAAATTCTTACAGCAGTGAAAGCTATTATCATGTTAACTGCTTAGATGATAACGATTATAATTATAAAAAAAAGAGCAATCTGTAAGGAGCAAAACTGTAATCATAGACATGATTGAACCCACTTATGCTAGAGCTTCCCTTAAACAAATAAATATGTAAAGTTGTAAAGTACTTTTAACTTTCCATAATTTTTAATAAACAACCAAACTTAAGAAATTTTAAAATGGTTATATGAAAATGGTATTGTTCCATTTATTACAAATGAAGAGAGATTTATAAAGTACAGCTTCAGATATAACCTTGACCAACCTTAAACAAACATAAACTCTTACATTAGGAGGAGGAGGAACATAAGTCTCAGGTGCCGATGGTGCTGCAGGAGTATAAGGATACGTAGGAGCAGTTGGTGCCACTGTAGAATCAGCTACTGGCAAGGCTGTGTATGGAGTCGACATCGGCCAACTTCCAGTGGTACCAGCTTGGCTCCAGCTCCACCAATTAGCTGTTTCTGGAGCTGTTTAAAAAGTAAAGAAAAACATTTCAACAACATAAATAAATAAATTAAAAATGTGATTCTGGTCCATACCAAAAGATCTTACAAGAAATAAACCTTTAACCATTATGGATTTAATATCAAATCGTATTGATAACATAAATATAATTTAAGACCTCAATTAGGTTTATTAATGCTTTTCATTTCCTCTTTATTTATGCAATTGATAACTTAATAACTATTTCTAATAAGATAAAACATTCCAACCCAACAATTTAATGTAATAAAAAGAAACCCGGGATTTTTTGTAAGTTCCAAAATAATAGCTGTTGCCAATTTTAAGAACTCTTCTTCGATAGCGTTACAACCATAAAGGATCCTGCCTTCCTCCAATAGCAACCACCATGGGTCTCTACTCTATTCTATGCCGTAGCCATCCAGTTTCGCACCCTCAAATATTTTCTTGGATCATGGGCTACATAATCTGTCCACCACAGCTTTGGCCTTCCAACTCTACAATGACTAAAAAGGAACTCAACCAAAATTTTCTTGGGAAGTAGACTGTCAAACATTCTGGCTCGATGTCCTGCCCACTACAGTCTTCCAATCATGATGAAACATGATATATCTGGCTCATGATATAGATCATTCAGCTCCCGATCGGTTCTCTCCCTCCATTCATTATTCTCCAACACACCACCATATATTAGGCATAGTACTTTCCGTTCAAATGTGAGGAGGAGGTGGTCTTCAGTTCCGGTTGTAGTCAATGTTTCCAAGCAATAACACAGTACAGGAGAGAGTCCTATATATAGTAATAATTTTTGTTCGTCTGGTAATCAAATTGCTGGAGTACAGGGCGGATGAGAGTTCTATACATAACCTTTGTTCTCCTGAGTATCAAATTGCTTGAAATGCTTCGGGAGTCCAAAATACCAACGGTTGGCAGCTAATATTCTTCTAATCTCCACTGCAGCACCATTGTTGCAGATAAACAAACTCTGAGACCTGCTCAAAGCTGTAAGGCCAAAACAAACATTGTTGCCTTTCAATCTTGGAACTTGATCTGATACTTGGTTTTGGCTTCATTGACAATAAGTCCATCCATTTCACAGCAATTTCCAGACCAAGGAATGCCTCAACTACTACTTGTTTGTACCTCCCTTTAATATCAATGTCATCTGCATATACTAACAACTGTACTGATCTGTTCATATTGTAGCTGAAGTCTGAAGAGTCCCTTATAGCTTTATCTAGCGCCATATTAAACAGTAGGTATACCTTACTCCTCTCCAGAATAGAAATGGCCTTATACTTGGACCACACATTCAATATTTTCCATGGTCAGCTTTATGAGTTGTGAAATAGTGAGGGTTGTATAATGCTTTATAAAGCTCTTTTCAGTGTACGGTATCATATGCTGACTTGAAGTCAATGAAGAGATGTGTCGGCATGTTGTACTCCCTTCCTCTCTCCAATGTAGTTCGGAGAATAAAAATTTGGCCTGCAGTAAATCTGCCCAGCCAGAATCCACATTGGTAATGTCCAGTCTTCTGTTCAACAATTGGGAGTCCTATTCTCCTTTTGATTATATGGTAGATTAATTAGTCTTTTCGCATTAGGGTGGAGGTTGGCACAGATTGAAATGGTTTAGTGACTGTTATACCGTGATACATCCATAGATATATTAAACCATAGAGGACAGAAGGGACTTAAAATTCTTAAACTTGACCTCAAAAGCAAAATGTATTGTAAAGCACTTTTTCAAAGAAAGGAGTCACCAAAAGCTACCCATCCAGATACCATAATAGAGACAAAAATCTTGACAAGACCAAGAACCTACAGGCTAAATTAACAATTAAAAAATGTAAATCCAGCCTATATAGTTTCCTCCCAATCCTCCACTCTCCCTGGTTGGATGGGGAACCATTATCACTTTTATGAGATAGCATACTAACTCCTTAAATAAAAGCTGTTAACTAAGACCACATTAATTTGAACGACCCAAGCTATAAATGATTCAAATAAACACTGATGGCTTAGCCATATAAGCAACCAAGACTGGACGTAAATATTAATTGGGGTAGTAATCAGATTTGAGTAACATTAAAAAATCACTGCTAACAGGATACATGTCAACTAATTACTGGATAAAGCAGGATCCTATTAAAGGTGCCATTCAAACAATTATAAGGGACACCTCTTTATCGTGAAAAACAATGTAATTCTCTGTAGGTAGCCACTATGGAAAAAGTCTACTATATTTTCATTTAATCAAATAACTTAGTGATTTAATTTTCTAAAATATTACTTTATGACTTTTCTAGATAAAATAATCAGACAAAATTTTCCCTCCTACAATGGTGGGTAAGTTACTAAAGAACTACAAAGAGAAGGGGATCTGTTGCCTCCATCATCTTTTAGATATACTTAGTTGGTTTAGGGATACTATCTTCAAAACACTCAAGAGGGTCTTGAAATTATCCACTAACTTTTTTTTAGTTATGATTGATCCCTCATTTAAATAAAGACTTAAATTAACATAATTATTTTTTGCAGTTGAATATTTAATTACCTCAGTAAAAATTATAGAAGAAAAATTAATTTAAAAAAATGTATGACAGTACTAATTCACAAGTGGCACATGTGGATGGCAGGTGGTCTCTTGCTATCATCCATAGTATATGGAATGCTGAAAATATTCGAATAAAAGTCAAAGAATACAGAGGCCATCGATCATCAAGACATACTTTCTGGCAATTTTAATGACTGGTCCGGGGTTGCGGTCATAAAAAGGCTAAATAGTGGTAAAACTATTTTATTGAAAGCCAACGTTTCGACCCGACTTTGCAGGTCTTCATCAGGGCTAGAACGGACAAGATACAAAAAGATAGAGAATTGTGGCAATTACATAATATTTAGACATAATTTATAAACAATGTGAATAAGCTTATTAGAATTATAAACAGTAAGTACAATAAAATATGGACTAAGTAAGCTGAGTAACAAGATCCTAAAATAAAGTAAATAGATGCTAACAATTGTTGTAGTGTAATATATAACAAATGAAAATGTGAGTATAATTCTACAAAATCTACAGGAGAAAAAAAATAAAATAAAATTAGAGACTTACAGGTGTGTTCCTCTAGGAGTTTCACTTAGAACTGGAAAGGCAGCAGTAAAGATTGCAGGTATAGGGGGAGTTAACATGTGTTAACTAAGTAAACATTGAAAAACCCAGGAATGTACAGTACCTAGGAATTTTTGAAGATATGGATGGATACAATGGAAAAATACTATATCTATGAAATATTAAATTATAAATATATAAATTATAAGTATATAAATATACATATAAAATAGAGTTGAGAGATGTGAGAGGTATTTCATGATTCTAGATCAGAGTACAATGTGAATAAACCCAAAATTTTTTTTTTTTTTTTTTTAATCTGTTTATTGAATAATAATACAATCAGCCACTGCTGGAGGGCTATAAGCATTAGGGCTACAAGTTCTCATTCATACAATATATACAAATAATAAAGAAATAAATATAAATATAATAAGTAAATAAATAATACGGGTGAAGAAGTTAAATAAAAATAAAATAAACAAATAAAATAAAATAAAAATTTCTAAACACAATCATACCTATATACAATATATACATTCGCCCAAGAATCTCCGAGCCAGGCTTTTTCCCCCATACGTGGAAGGCGAAGCAAGACTCTGGAAGATCCCAGCGCCACTTTTCGAGCCGCATCACTAGTATTAGAAGTAAACCCAAAATTGGTAAAAAGTAAATATAGAAATAACTTCATTAACATACACACATTGCAGAGCTAACTTAAAAGAAAGAAAAAGAAAAAAAAAAAAAAAAAAAAAGGTGGTCATACATTGGTGTAGAGTGTAAATGTAAATTTAGGATAAAATAGAAGAGAGATCATACAAAGAAGCAATATTTAGAATAATGAACAATTAAATGAATTAGTTAATACAAATTGAGAGTAGATGAAAATAATAGAATAGAATATTTAAGTTATTTTTCCCTTATAAGACTTAAAATGTGTCTATATGTAAGAGAAATACAGTTTTTGTCTACTTTGTGATTAACGGGATTGTATTCCATGTGAATGTGGATAGATTCGGAAATGAGTCTTTTTTCATGGTTAGGGACCGTGGAAAGGATAGAGGTTTTTTCAAAATCAAATGAGTGGTTGAGTGTTAAAGCATGTTCTGATAGTTTGGAGGTGGAAGGATTCCGGGAAGTTATGGACGTTTTATGTTGGGAAATGCGGGTTTTGAGACAGTTTTTGGTTTCACCAAGTTTATGTATGGTGTTGAGAGGAAAATTGTTAGAGAGCAGTATATTTTTGACACGCTGAGTGTTGGCTTGATGGTATTGTGGATTGGATAAGGAGAGGGATCGGTGAATATGGTTTTTGGCGGTATTGATTTTTTGACTTGTTGTCTTGACAAGACAGAATACACACATAAAATAAACCAACTACTTTCAGACCAAACAACTTACGCACCCTCCACCCGTGACCCAACCTGTACACTAATGCTAAAATTTGACCACCACATTAAAAACTTACTAGAGACTAAACAAATTAACTACAACCTTATATCCTACAATTCTCTAGCACCCCGCTTATATGGACTCCCAAAAATTCACAAACCTGGAAATCCCCTCCGCCCTATCATCTCCAATATAAACGCTCTCTCAGCTAAACTCAGCAAATTTCTTTTACACTCTCTCCAAAAACTTAGTCACAATAATCCTTACGAAATTCATAATTCATTCCATCTTAAAGAAGAGTTATCTTCGCTCCATATTCCTGATAACTTTATCCTGGTTTCCCTAGATGCCGAAAGCCTTTTTACCAACATCACAATAGACAAAGCCCTAGACATTGTAGAGAAAAACTGGACAATCATTGAACCTCACACCACCCTTAACCTTTCCTCATATCTTGAATCCCTTGAGCTTTGTTGCAGATCCGGTTTCCTCAGCTTCCAAGGAAAATTTTTTCATCAGATTTCTGGCCTAGCCATGGGAAATTCCTTAGCACCAGATATTTCCAATATTGTTCTCAATGACCTTCTTGACTCTGTTATCCCTTCTTTTCATCAAGACATCATTTTCATAAAAAAATATGTTGATGACCTCCTCCTTGTTATTAACCCTGACAGCATCCCCCAAATTCTTTCCTTATTCAACTCCTATCAGCCCCGTCTCCGTTTCACCATAGAGAAAGAACATAACAATTCGCTCCCCTTCTTAGACCTCCTAATAATGAAAAACATTGACGGTTCTGTCTCTACTGACTGGTACACTAAACCCACATACTCAGGCAGACTACTCAACTATTACTCCCAACACCCATATCACCAAAAAATCAATACCACCAAAAACCTTATTCACCGATCCCTCTCCTTATCCGATCCACAATACCATCAAGCCAACACTCAGCGTGTCAAAAATATACTGCTCTCTAACAATTTTCCTCTCAACACCATACATAAATTGCTATACAACCAAAAACAATACAACCTCCCATTCTCCCAACTCCCCACAATCATCTACCACTCCTTTCATATGCAAATCTCTCCCCTATATCCCTATCCTCTCAGACAATATACAAAAATTCCTAAAATCGACTATAACCAACTTACGCCTTGGCCTTAAGTCCCATAACAAACTTTCTTCCCTTTTCACCAACTTGAAGGATCCCATACTCTTACAACACCGATCCAATGTAGTTTACCGGATACCTTGCTCTACTCCTAATTGCAGTAGCTCCTATATTGCTGAAACCAAAAACTGTCTCAAAACCCGCATTTCCCAACATAAAACGTCCATAACTTCCCGGAATCCTTCCACCTCCAAACTATCAGAACATGCTTTAACACTCAACCACTCATTTGATTTTGAAAAAACCTCTATCCTTTCCACCTCTATCCTAACCATGAAAAAAGACTCATTTCCGAATCTATCCACATTCACATGGAATACAATCCCGTTAATCACAAAGTAGACAAAAACTGTATTTCTCTTACATATAGACACATTTTAAGTCTTATAAGGGAAAAATAACTTAAATATTCTATTCTATTATTTTCATCTACTCTCAATTTGTATTAACTAATTCATTTAATTGTTCATTATTCTAAATATTGCTTCTTTGTATGATCTCTCTTCTATTTTATCCTAAATTTACATTTACACTCTACACCAATGTATGACCACCTTTTTTTTTTTCTTTTTCTTTTTCTTTCTTTTAAGTTAGCTCTGCAATGTGTGTATGTTAATGAAGTTATTTCTATATTTACTTTTTACCAATTTTGGGTTTATTCACATTGTACTCTGATCTAGAATCATGAAATACCTCTCACATCTCTCAACTCTATTTTATATGTATATTTATATACTTATAATTTAATATTTCATAGATATAGTATTTTTCCATTGTATCCATCCATATCTTCAAAAATTCCTAGGTACTGTACATTCCTGGGTTTTTCAATGTTTACTTAGTTAACACATGTTAACTCCCCCTATACCTGCAATTTTTACCGCTGCCTTTCCAGTTCTAAGTGAAACTCCTAGAGGAACACACCTGTAAGTCTCTAATTTTATTTTATTTTTTTTCTCCTGTAGATTTTGTAGAATTATACTCACATTTTCATTTGTTATATATTACACTACAACAATTGTTAGCATCTATTTACTTTATTTTAGGATCTTGTTACTCAGCTTACTTAGTCCATATTTTATTGTACTTACTGTTTATAATTCTAATAAGCTTATTCACATTGTTTATAAATTATGTCTAAATATTATGTAATTGCCACAATTCTCTATCTTTTTGTATCTTGTCCGTTCTAGCCCTGATGAAGACCTGCAAAGTCGGGTCGAAACGTTGGCTTTCAATAAAATAGTTTTACCACTATTTAGCCTTTTTATGACCGCAACCCCGGACCATCTCCTTCCTTTGATTAAAGTATATGTTTCATAACAAAGCAATTGATGTATAATCTAGCCTAATGTAACCATTAGTGATATTACAAACTGCTATTATTGGACATACTCTATTATTTTTGGATTTCTAAGTAATGTGGTCAAAGTGATCATGGCCTAGGCAATGTCATATGAAACTTATGAACTAGTGTCTAAGGCAAATTGATGAACACTAATTATAAACCTGGCTGAATTTGAGTAGCTGGCCATGCAGGACTAGGAATGGTAGTAGGTGCTGGCGTTGGTGTGTTATCATCTTTTATTATGTCCATTGGAGCCTCTCCTTGTTCTTTCTCGGATTGTGGTGCTTCTTCTTTCATTTTTATCCATTGTTGTGCCAAACTTGCCCAGTCAACTAAGCATAAACAATATGATAACAAGAGAAAAATATGTCTCATAAAACTAATGTTAATTGTCTTCTGGTAGATAAGTTTTCAAAAGTTTTACCTTGTTCTGGAGGCATATGAAGGTACTGGGCACTGGGATTTAATGCCCATTGTGTGGGGTAAGAATCCCCTTGTCCTGATACATTTCCAGACCACATGACTAAAATATACTCAGAAGCTAATTGAAAAATTGTTATACCAACTATGAACTAATTAACATTATAATCAAATGTTAATGACAAAGTCAACCACTGTAGAAAGGCATATCCTCCAGATCTCACAATTTTCTTTGATAAAACAACACATCTCTTAAGATGCCATCGTCAAAAGTTTATAAACAGTAGTCAATATCAATGGAAAACGCCGCTAGAATCTAAAAAAGAATAATGAGGTTATCTCGATTACAATTAATATAGGAGTATATTAACAAGACAGAATTTAAATTGATTCACTATACCTACAATACCCTAGTAATAGGTCTAATATATTGTTCATAAGATGATAAGCAATGAACAGAAACAGTCTAAAACATTAAATTCCATAAACTCAAGCTACAACCTTCTACCGTAATCAGTGTATTCATGGTAGTATGAGTATATGAGAACAAATAAATATGTCACATGACTAATTTTATCTATATTCTCCAGAATAAATAAATTGATAATTATTTTTCAGACTAATAATCATTTTTAAATAAATATTAAAAGTTATTTTGTGTGGCAAATTGAATAGTATTTGTGTGCTCTTCTATGTTGAATTAACACTTTCCAAAAGCCATCTTGGACATTCAGTTAATATGATTTAAACTAAAATAAGTGTTCCATGTGTTTTTGAAAGTTTTAATAAGATTTCTTATATGCTAATACAGTAGCTTCGCCCCGTGATTTTAACAGCGTTAAATTTATATTACAGGTCCCTATTCGCAGTGCCATCCTTAAAGCGGGGCAACCTGGGCGCCGGCCGATCTTTAAGGGTTTATGCTCGCTAAGTCTTATAAATTAAAAAAAAAAAACAATAGAAAACGTCTTAAAACAATTAATTGTACCCTATCAATAAAACAACTTTACTAGAGAAATATTGAATGAAAAATTCAAATATTACATATTATAAAACTGTCTAAGAAATAAATTAAATTTTTTTTAGGATCTGAACTCTTTGCCGAATATCTTTCTTCTGTTTTTGTACCACACACAGACTTCACTAACACTGTGCATGATAACAATGTACTGAACACTTTAGACGTGCCCTTACAACTAACTTCACCTCCTATTTCATTCACAATTTCCCAGATTGCTGAACAAATCAAAAAGTTGCCTAAAAGAAAAGCTCCTAGACATGACTTGATTAATGCTGAAGTGCTCCAACAAATGCCTAGAAAAGCTTTAGTGCTTTTGACAACTATTTATAATGCAATACTGAGGACAACTAAATTTCCACTACAGTGGAAATACTCACATATAATAATGATTGGCAAGCCTAACAAGGACCAAAACTCACCTTACTCATACCGGCCAATCAGCTTACTACCTGTCTGTTCCAAAATTTTTTAAAGCTTACTGAACAAAAGACTTGTTGATATACTAACAAACACCCAAATAATACCTGACCATCAATTTGGATTTAGGGTACATCACTCAACTGTACACCAACTACATAGAGTAAGGGACTACATATCTACAGCACTAGAGCAGAAAGTATATGCAACTGGCGTATTTCTGGATGTTGCTCAAGCGTTTGACAGAGTTTGGCACCAGGGTCTTCTCTTTAAACTCAAGACAATACTCCCACCTACATATTATCTAATTTTACAATCCTTCCTTTCCGATAGATCTTTCTCGGTCCGACCCGGGTCAGAGTTATCTTCCATCAGGTCTATCTCAGCAGAAGTACCTCAAGGTTCAGTACTCGCTCCACTACTCTACATCACATACACCCATGACATACACTGCAGTCCCAACATTTTAACAGCGACATATGCAGACGACACAGCAATTTTAGTAAGATACAAAAATCCAATATACGCCTCACATACCCTACAACAGTATTTAACAAGATTACATGACTGGTTCAAAATTTGGAAAATCCGACTAAATCAAGACAAATCACAGGACATCACATTTACGCTTCGACATGAAACATGCTCTCCAGTTTTCCTTGACAACACACAGATTCCACAGACAGACACCGTTCACTAACTTGGTCTGACATTTGACAGAAAAATGACGTGGGGCCCACATATAATAAAGAAACGAAAAACGCTAAATCAAAGGTTAAGAATTCTGAGTTCACTTCTTTCGAAAAATTCAAAACTAAAACAGACAGAAATTGAACACGTACAAATACTTACTAAAACCTATTTGGACTTACGCATCACAGATATTTGGAACTGCTAAAAAGACTCACTTAAACAAACTTCAAATCTTTCAAGCAAAAACATTCAGAACAATTACAAAAGCACCTTGGTACGTTAGCAACATAACTTTACATACTGACCTCCATATGCCGGCTGTTAACGAACACATACGAACTCATTGCAAACGATTCCATGAAAACTTACAAGGACATCCTAATACACTTATAAATGACATGGCCACTATGAATATGTCAGGTAACGTCTGTAGGAGACTGAAGAGGAGCTGGATGAGGGACCTCCTCGCCTAATGTTGATATCACGCCGAGTGAGGTGCCGCTGGGCACTGATCCTCCTCATGCCTTTCATGACATTATATTTTGCAATCGACCTCACATTCACTGGTTGTCATTACCATTATGACAGGTTTGAATAAAAAAATTAAAGCTAAAAAAAATAAATTTTTTTTAGGAGGTGACGTCATTGCACGGGGACGTCGAATGTCTAAGGCCGGCACTGCCTATTGGTAACTAATTGGATTATCATTTTATTGGATTATCCAAACAAATATATAGAGTAGTAACTATCAAATTTTAAACAATATACTGTAAGTAGTTTCCAGAATTTTTTATAAGATAGTTTAGGTCCAGATTTTTCCTTTTATTGTAGATTTAAAAATTCTGGTACGCGCAACTCAAAACTTTCACTTACCGCTCTACTTTAAATAGAAATTATTTTCAGGCAATGTTGGACTACTATAAAAATTTTTAAGTGCATTTTTAACCGGGCTATAGCTTCAAGCTTACAACTGACACTAATACCATTACAATAACAAAAATCCTATTTATCATATCAACGGTTGATTATGGATTGTACGACTATTAATAATAATAATAATACTTTACTTATCCTGGGACGAGTCCCTTTACAATAATACAGGAACACAGAAATGTAGGCTAAGGAGCCTCATAGATACATAAACAATAATACAGAGTAATTAAATAGTCATAATAAAAAAACGTTGCAAATTATTTGACAATGGTTTATTATTTCCCAACGATTATACATCTAAAGTAACATTACCTTTCTAGTGACAAATTAAAAGAAATAAAAAGTTAACTCCAATTACTTGTCTAAACATTTTTTTTCATCATGAGTAAGCTGCTGCTGCTAAAAAATCCCCCCCAAAAAAACGTTACTTTAGGAACACATTCAATTATCAAAAAATCAAAAACAAAGGATTTGCAGTTGAACATAAAAAAAAATCTAGAGACCATATCTTTGCTCCTAATTGTCCGATTTTTAGGAAATTTCGTAAACTTAAAAAAAATATATATATACAATATAGACAAACAAGTGTATACTTTTTAAGTTATTAAGAATCTAATTTTACCATCCCTCAAGACCTGCAAAGTCGGGTCGAAACGTTGGCTTTCAATAAAATAGTTTTACCAATATTTAGCCTTTTTATGACCGCAATCCTGGACCATCTCCTTCCTTTATAATGCCACGGTCAACTATTAAATATTCAATACATAAATTTGTATTAGTTTTTCTTATTCAATGAATTTTGGACAGATAATTATTTCTTATTCGTTTCTACAGATAACCTGGATTATCTATTATCTATTATTCGTTATTTAAGATTTTCTGGATTTTCATGTGCTTTTTCTCTTTAGTCTCGTGAATGGATGCTCGGTTCGACTTTCTGCACTTGATGCTTTTGTCCACTGTCTTATTGAAATATATATGATGACCCAATATCAAGATTCATTGCACTTGATTTTAAATTTTCTTTTAACATGTTTGTGTACACATATTGGTCCATTACACCTTCAATAATATTTAGTTTTACTACGTCAGAAGCACTCATACAGCCCCATACCATGATTCCACCTCCATGCTTGACCGTGGGACACAAGTACTAAGCTGTTAACGCTTGATTGAGTTTTTACCGCACCCACACTTTTTCATCAGATGAATATAAGGTAGATTTACATTCGTCGCAAAAAAACACTCGTTCCCAGAAAATACTAGTCGCATTCAGATCATCTTTTGCAAACGATAAACATTTAATTTTATTCTCCTTACTTATAAAATTCTTTTTCCTAGTAGATCGCGAGTTGTACTTTGCATTTTAAAATGTTCCGCACCGTTTGTGGCGTAAATTTAATGGCTTAATCATTTTCAAGCATACGTGCAGTAGAAGCAGCACTCGTTTTTTGGGCTTCATGAATATTTTTCGTAATTTCTCGTTCATGGATCCATTGCAATTTTTTCGGACGCCCAGCTCTTGGTCGACTTTAAAAGATTCCAGTCTCTTCAAACCTGCTGATGCTTTTCTGAATCGTGGAATGATGTTTGGAAATCATTTTGGCAATTTCTCTCAGTGACTATCCTTTTTTTCTTAAATTAACAACCAATTTTCGTATTCCAACAGATAACTCCATGATGAGAACAAAAACTATTAAATTCACTTCCTTACATGTCAGTAAATAATCAAATACTGAACAACTCATAAATCATAAGACCTTCAGATAAGGGATTATTACGTTTTGTTTAGGTTTTTCTGTTTATAAATAGTGTACATAGACTTTTTTTTAAACCAAATTTTGTAGATTATTTACAATAGTAACAAAACCAGGTCCTAAATAAAATTTTTATTAATGGAAACTTCTTTAAAAACTTATTCTAAATGGATTCTTAACAAATATTTTCATTATAGAGCACTTATTAAACGATGAAACTTTTAAATTTCTATTGGAAAAAAATGTACCCAGACTTTTTTTCTAATTGTAGATTGATCTAGGCCTTCGCTTATTTGATTATATTTACCGTTCTTGGCATTTATGATTTGCATTCCAATGGTCCGACCTAACTTTCTCCTATATTTTTTTTACAATGTTATCTATTGATTTATGAATATGCTGTGTTATTTAGAAACTCAACATAGTTAACAGCCGTGTTATGTTATGTTTCTCTCTGTAGTACTGTTTCTTTGGCGATAAACCGCAGATGTATAAGAAATGTCGGCAGTATGCCATCTGGCCCTGCGGTTTCTCTTTTCTTAGTTCTAATAAGAGCATCATTTAGCTCTTTCATTTAATATGTGACATTTATTATAAGAAAATAATAAATGACAGTCACTTATTATACTTATTATACAGAACTTGTTTATACAATAGAGAGATTAATGCTCAAATATAAATGAATATTCAGTGAATATTTTTACTAAATAAATTTATATTCAGTGGATATTTTCTTAGAAAAAATCTTTATTCAGGCATATTTTTTGTTGAATGGTTTCTTTTTTCATATAAAAATAATGAATAGTTCTAAGAATATATCAGAACTTCAGATTATTATAGGAATCGTCAATCAATAAATTATTATTGATTGAAAATTTATTGACTAAATTATTCCAATTAAAATTTATTCAATAAAGTCTAACTGTGATAATGAGAGCATCACACCCGATTTTTTTAAATTTCAAATCAGAATAATTTTTTTATGTGAAAATAAACGACTGATACTGGAACAGATCCTATTGAATTAGTACATTCTACCTCTTTGGTTTATTGTGATTTTGACATTTGTAATCTTTGTAGTCTATAAGAATGGTTCATTAACGAATTATTTCATATTTATAATAATTTTAAATGTGATATTGATCTATCAAAACATTCTTTAAACTTTATTTATTTCATTTTATAAATTTATTAAACAAATTTAATCTTAACAATCATGTTTGGAGAAAAAATTAGTGTTTACAACCCAGCTTCACCACCAACAATGATAATCTCTCAAGTTCGCCCCAAAACCAGTATTTTAGATAAATCCCTTAGCAAAAAGAGAGGTGAAGTTAGTCTAAGTTGTTATACTCTATTATTCTCTGAATTAGTGCAATATTGCCAGAACAAAGTGCATACTGTTCCTGAGCTCCAAAATAAGTGATTTTAATTAAAGACATTTTATTTTCTATTAATAAATATGTTTTGCATTTTAATTGTAAATTAAATTATTTTCAGGTTGTGTGATCTTGGACAGGAAGTTGGTATAAAACTAATAGATCTTTATTTTGTACGCGAAAGGAATTGCAAAAGGGAAACAAAGTTATTACACATGCTTCTGTTTATTAAAACCACATTATGGAAGGTTTGATTTCTTAACTGATAGTTTCTCCTTCATTGTAATAATGAAAATTGGCTTTATTTCTAAATACCACATCAATATGCCTATGGCACAAACTCACACTGTAGATGGATTCCTGAAAGTAATCCCTCATTGACAAATGTGTTTATAATGTAATCTCCTATTTCAGCCATTTAGGTTAGAATACATTACTCATCTTATAATAAGAGGCACCTAAGATCATTAATGGTTATTAGAATTATTTTTGCTTTAATTAGACATGATGTAACTTCCTGTGGCTTAATAGATTAACAAATTCACCATAATTCTCTTCAGTTGAGCTCAGGGCCTTACCATAAGTCTTTTATTAGTGGAAATGGATACTGTAAAGTAACAAAATTGACAGATATGATCTAATTGAAGCAATAAAACTTTATAACCTTTGATAGTCCTAATAAACAAGATGGTCATTGGTATCGTTTGCCTCTGTCCAGTTTTGGAATTGAATCTACAATAGGTAGATGTAATTTTGTCCCTCCTACTATGCTTGAGTGGCGCTTCAGAATATTTATCATATTTTATTTTGAATTGTAAATTAAACTTACTTTTTATAGGGTTTATTTGGCAAAGAAGCAGACAAACTCGAGCATGCAAATGATGATGAGCGTATATATTACATTATTGAAAAAGAACCATTAGTGAACAAATATATTTCAGTCCCCAAAGACAAAGGAAGTCTTAATTGTGCAATGTTCATTGCAGGTATTGTTGAAGGGATTCTTAATGCTGCAGGATTCGTAAGTTCCAAAAATACATTAAAATTGTATTTTTAATATATTTAAGATAGTTCTTAAATGCATCATAATAAATTGTTGTAATCTAAGCAGGTAGCCTCATTATACAACATAAAAATTTATTGTGCCGAAAGATAGGATAGTTATGAAATTGATATGTCAAGATGTTTAATAAAGAAACTCTATAGGAATAGGCAGGCAGTACTTCTGAAACAATTTATGGGATCCTGGAAGATATATGTAAGGAATGAAGAATGTGTATATTATACCTCGTCCTACTATGGATAACTGTAGAAGTTATCCATATTTGAACTGTTGTTTTTATAAATATTCATGTGTTTGTACAAAATATAATATTAGGTCTTGTCTTTATATTAATTTGCTAGGCGTATATTGCTATACGTATTTATACGCATGAAATGTTTAAACCAAAATCTGTCTTCTGCTATTTATTTGTTGAAAAATTCTTATTACTCGTGCCTATTCTAAAACAACACCCTCCTCTACATTCATTTTCACTCTTTCCTGTTTCTGGATCTACTCATTATAAAAAACAGCAAGTATAGCAACTACTTTTACATCTCAAAGCCTATTGACATATTCAAATTGAAAATTGAATCAACCAGTTGCAGTTAGTGTCAAAGATCTACTCTTTTGCGGTGATGATTGCTCTGAGTCGGATGCTGCAAAGTAATAAGACAAGCAATCATCAGTATCAGTATCATGTGGCTTATGGTTCAGTTGCCTTTGATTGGTTCAGTATAAAGCCTTGTTTACTGTTTGTAATTCAGCACTCCAAGGAAGTCCTGTAACTTCTATGCAGTATTAAGTATATTTGTGATTTACCTCCAATAATATTACAATTAGCTGAGTTCTTGTTTCATCCATCCTGAATAAATGATAGTTTATAAAAAAAAAATGTCCAAATACCTAAACAGGAGCTTAAATTTGGTACAAAAACAATTTCAAGCTTTAGTAAAATAATATATGTGGGGATGCGATGAGATAAAACGATGCTGTGCTGCTTTTAAATAGTTTTTTAAATAATCAGAAGATTACACATCTCCAGAAATATATGTATGTATGTATGTGTACATTGCATTGTTAAAATTAAAAGGATATTGAAATTGTCTAATGAGCTCATTTCAGTAAGGATTACGTTCACCAAAAAATAGGTGACTGTTTTTTTTTTTTACTGTTTGTTTTTTAATTGGTTTTTGTAAGATCTAGAAATCTTTCAAATTATTGAAGTACAAGAGTTTTCTTGAAAAATTACCAAGTAAATACTTACTTCATAGATATATCAAAAGGTAAAAATTGGCTCAAATAACAAAATTTAGTTAAATAGAACACAGTATACTAAAAGGTAAAAATTGTCTCATATCTGTGTATCAAAAGATAAAAATTGGCTCGAATAACAAAATATAGTTAAATTGAATAAAGCAACAAATAATTCATCCCGTTTAAATAAAGAAACTTTGTTAGTATATTTGAAAGATATAATGGCGATATATTTAATAAGGTTAAAAGTAAACCATAAATATTTCAAGTCAAATGAGAAAAATTATTTAAAATATTGGTGATTTTCACTTCTTTCAACCACATCTAATACAAAAACAACTAAAATTGTCTTGTTATCCAAATGTTCATAATAATGAAAGGAAATATAAATATCTACAAAAAATACTGAGGAAAAACCCAAATATATACAATAAATACTGAATTATAAAAAAAATTAATAAATAAAAATAAAATTACTTCCATCAATTAACTGCTAGTGGCCAACGTTATCATATAACCCAGAAATTTTTACTAGCTTGCGCAAGTTTGAATTTGTAGTAGTTGGCGGAATAGAAGTTGTTTGAAGGAGTTTATGGACGTGGTTTGACGTATGGAGATGGGTAAGGAATTCTAGAAGGAGATGGCACAAATGACAAAGGATTTACTGAAGGAAGTGGTTGTATGGGAGAGGATATATAAATCTATAAGTTGAGATCTGGTGTCGAGAGAGTGGATAGAGGAGCGTAAAGTAAGGAATTCTAAGATGTAGGGAGGGTTTTTGGTTCTTAGGACTTGAAAAAGAAAACACCACGAAGGAATTGCTGTCAGGAAGCGGAAGTAAGATATAGCCACTTCAATTTGGTGTAACAACAAGAAACATGAGAACACTTGGGAATCCCAAAGATGAAGCAATTGATAAGTTTCTTCAATCTCAACTCCAGTCCTATGGACAGCACTTCATACACCAGGCAACCATAGTCGAAGTGGGAGAAAACAAGGGATGTTACAAGGAGTTGTCTTGTTTTTTTTTGGAATCATGGAATTGAAAGAAATTGGATAGTTATGGATTTACAAGTAATCTGGGAAATGTGGTTTTCTAAGAGAGGTTCTGATCTAAGATCACTCTGAAGTTTTTGACTGTCGGAAAGAAATGGAGGGAATGGTTATTGAGGTAAAGTAAAGTTGGGTGAAGTATTGAGAACGAAAACCGGATTGTAGAGGATTGAGGAGACGGTTTTGCTCAAGAAAGTTGTTCAACTGAGAGTGAAATAATCTTTCTAGAGGCTTGGATAAATTGGATAAAATGGAAATGGGCTTAAAGTCGGAAGCTAGTGAAGGAGCAGGAACTTTGTTCAACAGCCGGACAATGACTTTTTTCCAGGTTTTAGAAAAAAAGGAATTTTGGAGGGAAAAATTGTAGATGTGTAGGGGTATAGGAAGTAAGTTTGGAAGGCAGAGTTTAATGATTTTCATAGTGTTTGGTCAGGACCATAGTCATTGATTTTGGATTTAAGGATAGTAGAGGATAGGTCAGTAGGAGGAGAGATATCAAGAAAAAAACTTATCTGGGTAAAAGGAGGTTTCAGTGATGGAAGGAATAAGGTAAGAGGTCAGACGTGAATAAAGAAGGAGGATGGTTTGCAAAAAAGGAATTTAGGTCGTTCGGATCTACTGGATAAAGTGTGCAGGTTTTGGAGCTTATGACAGAGAGTTTCCTGAGGATTGTCTATTTGGATTTAATATTAGGTGCTCAGGATAGTACATTGCTAAAGTATTGCACTTTAAGGATATTTGTTTATTGTTCCCTAGAGATTTGAATATTGTTGAGTGTTGGGGTAGTCGTGTTCTTCTGTATCGTCTTCTGGCAGACTCTCTCTCATCAACTCTCTAATTTATGAATTTATCGAAGGAGCAGGAGGATATCTAAAACTACGGGTTTTAAGAGGAGCGTGATGGTTAAGGAAATCAAGAAGGTTAGAGGAAAAGTGTTCCACCATGTCATCGATAGATGAAAGGAAGTAGATGGGTTCTAAGGAAACTTATAAGGAATCGAGATAAGGTCTGATGTTTTCAATGGTTAGGGAATTAAGATCTCTCCAAAAAATTTGTTTGTGAACAATGGTAGGAATAATAACATTGTATGAGATTTCGATAAGATCATGGGATAAGAGAAAGGAAACAGGGTTTTCCGTGGAAGATAATAGGTTTTGAGAGGTATCAATGTTAAATAAGTCTAGCCAGGTATCAGTGGACTTGGTGTGATGCGTGGGTTGAAAAGGTACAATAAAAGAGTCTAGGGAGAAAAACAGGTCAATAAGGTGTGTTCTGTCCGGTGAGACTGAAAGGAGGTTGGTGTTGAGATCGCCTGCAATAATGTCATTTTTAAACAATGGGATACATGTAAGGAGAGAGGACTCAAATGTGGGATCAAATTGGACAAGAAAAGGGCCCTAAATAAGAATGTAGAGTAGGGAGAAGGTTTTAGAGGAAACTTGGACAAATAGATATTCAATTTGCGGGATGTTAGAAGAAGGAAATTTTAAAAGAATTTTGGCCCTCAATTTATCATGAATAAACAGACCGATACCTCCTCCAGATCGATCTGCGGGATAATGATGAAAGTTATAGTCAGTTAAGAAAACAGAAGGTGAGGGGATATTAGGTTTGAGCCAAGTTTTGGATACAGCAATAATATGGTAGGAATTGTGATGAAAATAATCTAGGAATTCGTCATAATGTGCTGGAAGGGATTGGGAGTTAACATGGCAGAAGATTAAAGTATTAGTCATTAAGGGATTAAATAAAGGACAATCAGTAGGATGGGACAGAATGAAGTTAAGATTAGAGGAGAGGGTATATTTTTAAACAGTATATTGTAAAATGATAGATTAGAAAGATATACAAAAATTTTAATTTACAAACATAAGCAGGAATAATGACCATAGAAAAAAAAATGTTTAATTTAAAATAAAATAAAAATCTTCTACATTTCAAAATAATAGTAAAAATGTGAAATGAACAACTGCATGAGTAAACAAAGTTAAAAAATAAAAATAAAAGACTTTCAAAACATAAGGGTTGGAAGGAACGCTGAAACATATTTCATTCTATGACTTCAATTCAATATGTCGTACCTGCCATAATTTTTAGTTTCATATTCTTTTATTTGAAAATACATATTTTTACTCATAGTAGAATGGTAAGTGAAAGCTGTGTGGTGTGGTGCATACTCCACACCAGATTATTGGTGATGGTATGGTATTCAATAATTTTGAATTGTAATTGTATTAATAAATTAAGTTAATCATCAAGTTAATAAATTTGCATTTTATACATCAGTAACATTTTCAAATTTTGAGCCTTAGTTTTAATTGTATAATGAAGTCGTTCTTTATGCTTTCAGATGGCTAAAGTTACTGCTCACTGGCATAAAGGAACTACATATATGGTGCAGTTTGAAGAAAGTGTAATTGTGAAAGATAAACAACTTGATGAGAAATAAAATTAAAGTGATGGTATGGATTTTGTAATAAATTAATGTTAAATAGTAGTTTGTTTTTTCCTCCATACATACATACGTTTTCGGCTCTACAGCCCAGTCTGGGTCCTGGCCTCCACAAAAAACTGTCCCCACTGGTCTCTGTCCCTGGCCATCGTCCACCTGCTCGACGCTCCCACCCACACCGCGTCCCTTCCAATCTGGTCTCTAACCATCTTGTCCGGGGTCTTCCTACTTTTCTTTTCCCCACTGGTGCATGGTTCATTATCCTCTTGGGAATGCTATCTTCAGCCATCCTTTGAACATGACCAGGCCAACGAAGCCTGCTGATCTGGATAAATCCGGTTTTTTCATTCCTCCATCTGAAAAAGTAACTTATTTCATACATTTTAGCAGCTAAAAGCTAAATAAACATTATTGTATTTTAGCTGTAGTTTAACCATTAAATTCCACATTTAAATTAAAAATATAATATTTCAACTAAATGTAATGTTCTGATCATTACTTTTAATCGGAAACACCATTTTGTTGGGACATGCTCTCTTGGATTTATTCAAAATCAGTTCTTGAAACTTTTATGGAAATTTCTTGATAAAGGCAATCAAAGTTCTAAGGCATATTTTTTAATAAAAAGGTTTTGAAATAAAAATTCTTTGGAACTTTATAATAAAGTTCTAAATAACTTATCTGTAATGAAATTCTAGGTTTATTTAAGTTTTCTCTCCTATTTGACTTTTATTTTTAAACCCATACCTGTTAATTTACCATTGGGTATGTGCATGAATTTTCAATTTTCATTCAGTTGTGAAAATTAGGTGAAAACAATAAAAACATGAAAAGCCCAGTATTTTTCTGATTCATATGTGGGAAGATAATTAGGATTAAAGAAAAGTGATATGGACAGAGCTACGTCAGGGATTGCCTGCACCTTGCTTATACCAACTTCAAATCTTTCATTCAAGAATATATTTATTTTTTTCTTTCACTCTGTCATCTTCAAGTAGAAATACTTAGCTTACTCAGGAACGACTAATATTTAGTAATTGGTAGATATTTATTTATTAATATTTTATAAATAATCTATGAGCTGAGAAAGTTTGAGCAATATCAAGGGTGACAGCAATATGTGTCACACTATGCTTCTCTTTCTGTGTCCACCAGGACCATCTGACCCATTGATATTTCAAGTTTTTAGCTAAATATTCACCTTTTTTATTATTTAAAAAAATGCAATTTCAATCTTTTAAGGCCTTCTTACATGCTAGATTTTTTATGACTTGTCACAGGTATTTACACGTTGGAGAAACTTTGGCACTATTTGCTAGAGAGCTCAAGCAAATCTCTCTGTTTGTCATGATCACAGCTTCTGTTTACAGATTAGAATGTCTGTCCCTCTCACTAAGTAAATATTAACTAATAGATATTTCACAATATGGCAGGAAAATTTAAAACAGCTATGACAGTTATTGAAACAGAAGGGAATAAAAAAAACAAACAGAATTGTGTGGACTAAGGTTTATTTTTCTAGAATACTAAGAAAGGGTTTCTATAATGAAATTACTTTGAATCTGGTATTTTTCAACTTTTTTATGATCGTCAGCAGGAGATTTTCATTATTTATCGAGATCTGTTAATCTTTCTATGAAGAAACAGAATCCTTGCACGAGAGATGGCATCTTACAATAAATTCCAGAAAACAAAAATTGGATAAATATTCTAAAATCATACAGAAAAATTTGAATTTGACATACTCTTTTCTGCAGATCTTAATGAAAATTTATATACATTAAGTAAATAGACATATACGAAAAAATGCCAAGTTTTAACCATTTTTAAAATTTTCAGTTTTAAGTAGTCTCAGATTTATAGTCATTAGAACTTTTGAGATATTTTGAAGTTTGGAAGACAATTTGAGCTGAAAAATTGCTTTTTTAAAATGTAAAATCAATATTTATTGAACTGGATCTTTCAAAATTTATTCATTTGTTCTACATTTAGTACGGAATTGGATGATACCATAAGTATTAAGAGTGTAACTTTTCATTATGGATAAAATAATTCCTAAACATAGAGATTTGCATGCTTTTTTCGGTAATATATGGTTCTACCAGGGTATTTGGAGAGAGGTTTTTGCTAAAGATATTTTTCTATTCCTGGATCACAACTTTAAAAAACGTTAATATGTGATTTTTTATGACCATAATTTTGAAACTAATCATTAGGATTAAGTAAAATGTGGCACTTTTTCTTATTTGTATATTTACTTAATATATATAAATTTTCATCAAAATCTGTCTGGGATGGGTGTTGGCCCCTGGATGGTTTGGCATGGAATAACTATATAATAAATAAACATATTAAACCAAAATAAGTCACAGAAATATGAGTGGCCTTTTATCAAAGACAAGACATCTGTCACTAAATTTGAAATTGAGTTATTAGTTGATTCTTATAGCAGCATGTTTCTTGCTCTTTGAAATGATGAAATCAGTTTACATTAAGAAACATTGTATGCATGTTAAATTTAGCTTTAAGCATAACATTTAGTTTAAAAAACGGACACCTGAAGTATAAGTTTGTTTCAAAAGTTGACATCTACCAAACTGCCAATGAATTAGCCTGATCTGATCATGTCATTTAATTTTTAATAGTGTTGAGAAACAACACCAAAAGACAGATTTATTAAATCAAAATAGAAAACAGATCTCTTAAATTTAAGTTGAAGAAGGAAAGTTAAAGCTAGAGTTCCATTTTGATAAATTTCAGAATGAATGGTAGCCAATAAAAAAGTGAATAAATGGATTTTCTAATTTTCCAAATGTACGTGAGTAACGTTTCGGAAAACTAAGTTGGGAAACATAATCATAAAAGGAAAACAGACTTACAACATTAATATTGGAGCAAAGAACCAATTTGAAGGCTAAATTGAGGATATTAATTGATCAACCCAAAGGAAGTACCCTCAAGTGTCCCACATAAAAAAGAAAAACTTCAAGACGAAATGTTAATAATTTTCGGAAAAACAGGAAGGAGAATATTAGAATGTTACAGAAACGTGATTGAACTCATGACCTTCTAGAATCTCTAGAATTGTATTTTACTAGATAATTTTTGCGAATGTTCAGATGATGGAGATTTTGACAGAGATACAGTGTTGTAATTGATGGAATTTAGTATATTTATGATTTTTAAAACTTTATTTAAATATAAATGTTACATTTAAAAATTTTATTTTTTATTACCAGTTTTAAAAATATATGTAAAAGTATTAGTTGTCTGATTTCTGAGTTCATAAGAGAGTTAGTTATATTATAACTTGGAGTCATTTGTATTAAAACGGATATCTACAATTACATTTGTTTTAAAAACTGACATCTGTATTTTCAAAGATGAATTCGATCAACTTTTCAAATAATATTGATGAATGTTAAGAAATAGTAACTACACAATTTCTTAGATTAAAAAATAATGACTACACAATACCCTGGAAATACAACTATATCATTTTTTTATATACTTTATATACTATAATAAAACAAATCACGATTTTTTCTGCTGACATTACACGTAAATTAAAAAAATGAAATGGCCCCACAAAGCCAACTCAAGTCACTAGAAATTAAAGGACATAAATAGTTGAAACAAAAACATATTTTTGTAGGATTAATTATGAGAGTTAGAATGAAGGGTTGAGTTCATTCTCAGGACTTTTGTAATACCCTATTAGAAAGTAAAAAAAATTAATGAAATCAGTTTTGACAATCTTATAATATTGGGCAATGAAAAAATGCCTAAAAATATGGATATAGGTAAGTGAAAGTAAAGAAATCAATTAAACTTAGAATTGGTGTTTGATCCAGTCTTGCATTCGGGATTGCTTTACAAACTTCGTAAATTCCTTCCCCCTACATATTTTCTTATCATCAGTTCATACCTTACTGATATACACTTCAAAGTAAATCACAATAATACCTATTCATTCCTCTTTTCTCAATCTGCCGCTGTTCCTCAAGGTAGTAATCCTTGGTCCGTCCTATCCTTTACTCAGTTTATACAGCTGATATCCCAACCTATCCTAGCACTATCATCACCACATATGCTGATGACACATATATCCTATCAGTTGCACCCCAAACACTTCAATCATACATCATAAACCTTGAATAATTGTGCCAAAACTGGAGGATTAAAATAAATTCCAATAAATCCCATCAAATAACCTTTACCCTTCGTCGTAAATCTATGATTTCCTGTCCTACAGCATCCTTTAATAACATCCCACTTATCCCTGTAGAACAAATCTGATACCTAGTACTCCACCTGGACAAATGTCACACTTGGAATCCTCATACAAGACTGAAATGACAAGAATCTGCTCTACGTTACCGCTTACTCCAACACTTACTGGACAAACACTCTAAATTTTCGATTAATTTCAAAAGACTCATATACATGACTATAATAAGACCTATTTGGACTTACAGAGTTGAGCTATGGGGCCCCACTAAACCATCAAATTCCTCTCATATCCAATCCTCACAATCCAAAATACTTCATAAAATCCTCAGTGCTCCTTACTTTGTCACAAATAAAATAATCCATAAAGTCCTTAATGTTCCATATGTTTCCGATTTGGCCCAATCCAGATACCTATCCTTCCATAATAAACTTCATAACCATCCGAATCCTCTTGTTTCTAACCTTGCTTCCTCTTCGATTCCTGATAACCCTCTGGTGCTTCTGAAAAGATGGCCTCTTGATTTCCTTATGTAGACATATTATTAGAGTACTAACAATTTAGTTTCTCAACAAGCGTTTTCATGTGATTATATTCCTCTGTACACATTTACTTGATGTATTTATACTAAGACAGTTGTAAATATCATAAAAAAAAAAAAAAAAATTAACATTTTGATTTTTAGATAAAAAAGACATTTTTGAAAAGAATATCTGTTGCGTGCAACACACAACTTTATCTTACGGCTTAACTTTGAATAGAAATTATTTTCTGGCCTTGGGCTATAATAAAATTTTTGAATTGCATTTTTAAC